AATAAATCGAATTTATTCTTTATAATGTAAACCTGTGGTTATACATGTAAAAGGGGCAAAGATCAAAGTGACGTAAGAGATGATAATGCAATTCTGAACAATATTATTTCAATACACCATAAAACATCATTTTCTTAAACGAAAATATATTTCAATAAATGTTCTGTGTTAAAAAATACGTCTGTTGAGGGTAAAAGAAACAAACGAAGAAAGAAACTTTCTACCCCAGCCTTAGTTTTTTTTGTTTTACTCAGTGATAGCATTATGAGTACATCTACTCTTATTATGTTGGCTACCTATCCCTTTGATTGATAGCTAGTGTAGTCGTAGATGGGAATCTCAGTATTTGAACATCTTTGCAATCTTTGCATTAAACGAAACCATCAATCATAATGAAGAAATCTCCTCTCACGCATACCCTCTTGGCTGCAGCCATATGGATTATTACTCTCGAGAAGCAAATAAAAGACTCTCGTGTTTTGAATATGGCACATACCCAGGAAATTAGGTCGATTCGATCATCAACTTGTTTGATTTAGAAAATGTCTTGAAATACAGATACTGTCATTTTTTGGGAATTAGATTCGAAGTCGAACCAAGACCACAGTTTGATTCTGTGATTGACAAAGAAAATGCAGGGTGTCTGTTACAATATTTGCTAATCTAGGGAAGCTGCGAACGTGAAGGTGCATTTTGCTATAGAAAAAGGCTTGTCACATACTGATTCGAGGTCGTTTTTTTCTTTTTTTTTCTTCAGTACTGAATCATTTGAATTTGTCGTGTTTTCTGATATTTAAAAACTATGTAAAGAGTTACAAGCAGATGTGATTTTTGACACGGTGATATTTAGGGTTATTGGAAATATTATTATACTACTCCACAGTTGACTGACATTTTTGGTCTTGATCATTCTCTCCTTCTTACCGAAGATTCTGTGGCCGGTATGTGAGTAAGGGTGTGTCCGTAGAGGGTCGATCCATGGTCGACCCCCCTGTCTCTCTGTTAGATTGGGTTTGTGTGGGTCTGAACGTTTCTCCCCCCCCCCACCCTCTCTCTCTCTCTAAACCGCAGATTGTGTACGGGTGAAGAAGGGGAGGAACAATATCGCTCCCCCTCTCTCTCGCTCTCTCTCTCTCTCTCTCTTTCTTTCTCTCCGTTAATATGATTACCTGAATCGCCTTTTCTTATAATATAGAATCAGAGAGAGAGAGAGGAAAGATGAAGAGAAAGATAAGAGAGAGAGAGAGAGAGAGAGAGAGAGAGATGGAGAGAAAGAGAGAGAGAGAGAATAAAAGAGGAGTATCATTACTATCGTCTCATACATTTTTAGATTTTTAGAGTATGTTTTTTCACATAAGACATTTCTGGTCCTTATTGTTACACAAATATCCTGAAAAATGACACTTTGGTCGTCATTTTACAGCGAGTGATTGACACCTTTATTTTTATTCCCTAATTAAGTTTAAGACCCTTTTTGAAGCAACATGATTGTTGCTAATGAGTTCTTTGACAATTTGGATTCGATTTGACTCTACTAGGTATCTTATTCTATCAATATGGAATTAAATATCCCTCACTGGGGCGTCACTATGTTTGAAAATATCAAACAGCAGGATTGCGGCCCCCAATGTGCGGTTCTCGGAAATGTAGCATCCTAGCTCGTTTGTACCTGTCACTGGATAATAATGACATAATATACCAATTTCCTCGGTGAATGTTTGCCTCTAAATATGTTCGTTTCCTACTGACTTGACAGTACCCGGTATCGTCAGTTGTTCTCAACGGAAATTAGGCCTCAAGTAGGTTAAGTGCATAACATCTGAAGGACATTTAATTCATATTAACCACGCTCAAAGATTGGACAAAGGTACTTGGTCGATAAAAGTTGATAAGGTTGTCACGTTTTGCAACAAAGAGGGTGAAGTCATTTAATGCCCGCATTTAATGTTAGCCATTTAAAGAGAAAACACAATTACGTGGCTATGGGAGAGGGGTAGAGAGCAACTGTCATCTACTGGTTTGTAGATATTTCTATAGCGATCGAGGGTGTGTGTGTGTGTGAGAGAGAGAGAGAGAGGGAGAAGGGGGTATCTTGACTGGATGACAGTGAAGCAACATTTTATGTGTTGTAAAAGAGTAATCGGAGAGTTGAAGTAGAAATTATCTACAACTATTTTACATGTATACGGTATAGTCATTAACTTGATGCAATGCCGGCTATTAAGACTTAGGGATGCATCAACACACGTCCAAGAGGGACTATTGGGTCGTTTGTTGAGATTGGTGTGTGTGGGGGGGGGGGGGTGGGGCTTGAGTCCCCACCCCCTAGAACCGCCATTGACCGTGTCATAAAGTCGAGTGGTTTTGATACTCACTGGGGTTAGCGGTCCGAAATGACACATCTTTGGCGTGTTGTGTGAGGGTGACACTGTGCAACAAATTAATTGCAAAATGAACAGTGCAATCATTTCCTTGAATCTCTGCTGTAAAGGCATATCGAGATTCATGCAAAGACGCATTCTAAATGACGCCCTAAGTGCAATGGGTAATGACGCAATCGAAATGACGCCGCAAGCGCAACGGGTAATGACGCAATCGAAATGACGCCTCAAGTGCAATGGATTATGCTTCGCGTTTTGAAAAAGAAAAAGAAATCAAAGACATTGAAACAAGTGTCATTTTCACATATTTTCAGTAAGACGTGAAGTCATTAGAGTTTATTGTAAACACATGCTTGAAAGATTCACGCTAGACAATCTGTTTTGCTACACAATATTGTTTAGGATGAAGGGCTATTATATAAGACCACCATATGAAACCAAATTAGAAATTAAAATCAAGTTTTTATTAGGAACACTTTGAAAGCACAAGAATATAGCTTACAAAGGCACGTACACAGTTTCTCAAATTTACAAATCCTTATCTGGTTTAAAAAAAAGTTTTTTTTCAAAGAGTAAATTAAAGTAATGAAATAGAAATCTTACTAATTTTTCAATCAAATGTAGTTTATATATCATTTGTAAAAAGATATAACAATCAATCGCAAATGTAATTGTTGCAGATACACAGACACCAGATTAGTGGCAGATACCAACACCCCCTTTTCCCGATCGTGTACTCATTTTCTTAAACACAAATCAAATAGAGTAAGATTGCTAGTTTATTGAAAGGCTGAAAATGACAGCATTTACGATGTTTACCATAGAATAATGAATCAATCAAATTAGATACATTTTCGGGTAATCAGTAGTAAGCGTAGGAATGTAAGTTTAATTGAGGGACCCCTCTAACAAAACAAAACAAAAATCAAAACACACACACACACACACACTTGGTTTGGCAAAATAAAGCACGGGAAAAAGGTCACACCATAGCCAGCTACGGGTCACCAGGAACCTTATAGGAAGTGGGGATTCTAGGGTTAACTGGAAGAGGAAAAGAAAATGATGGAAACAGAGAGAGAGAGAGAGAGGTAAGAGAGAGAGAGAGAGAGAGGTAAGAGAGAGAGAGAGAGATATGTGTAAGAGAGAGAGAGAGAGAGAGAGAGGGGGGGGGGAAATAGAGATGGAAAATTGAAGTTACAACATTACCATGATTACTATACCGGTATTTTCAAGGCAGAGATGTGCCCATTGAACTGTCACATAAAATACCCTATTTGTATAATACTATTTTCGCTTTCAAAATGAATCAGTATAATCAAGAATGTGTGTTGCTATGGGTTACCCGGGTTGTTTACGCATTGCTATGATATTTTTTTACCTGGTATTGTGTCGTCAGTGACGTAATTAGATATTAGACGCTTCATTTCAAGAACTGTTTTCAATTAAGTCCGACAGTATCATCAAAATCAACCGCCCGTTCTTCAAAATTGAAATGAGAAAAGGTTGCTTAACCTGGATTTCGTTTCAACCACCTAAGCCATAGACACCTTGCAGTAGTCAATATAAGAATCAACAACATTATATAAATTTAGCTTTCTACATTGACGTCATGGCTTGATCCCAATTTTTTAGAAAGAAGAGGGCGCGGGGGGTCCGAACTTTAATATTTTACCGACCCTGTCTCTTATAAGGATTAACAAACACAAATGGTTCTCCTATAGGTATACCCGGGAACAATTTCAATTCCGAAACGGGGGTGAGGGATGGGGAGAGATTCCCTCGAAATACTAGTAGACTTAGTCCTAAAGTCTTTTTTTTTTGAGGGGGGGGGGGGTTGGGCGTGTTGCGACCTCGTGATCCTCCTAGATAACATCATAAACAACATTATTGAAGCTAATAACTAGAGTAAGAATAAATACTTAATTATACAGGTACTTATTGGAATAATTTGATATTATTGCCTCCGCACGAAAGACTGGGGTCTCATGAAATAAGCACAGTTACATCAATATACGTTTGATAATTGCACGAATAATAGTTATAAATATAGATTCAAATATAGAATTTCTTATTTTACAATAAAGGTAAACTGGTCATGCTGATTGCCAATTTTTTTGAAAATAATTATTTTGAGTAAGAGGGTAACGCAAGGTGCCATTGACTTGATCCGCCACCTGTCACAAGACGACAAAGCAAGCACTGGTAACTAAGTGGTGGTGCAGGAGGTCCTGGTTTAAAGCCATTGCGTTGCGCTATAGTGCCCCTTGCCATGTTCGGAATAATCGTCATATCAAGGCGGGTAGTAGATTAAGCCGTAAGTTCTCCTGGTTGTTTATAAAATAATATACTGTAATTTAGTTGCATTCTTAGAAATTAAATACAATGAAGTACATGTATCAATACATCTAATTCACACTAGATACTACAAAGGCAGCATTATCTCTCATAAGAAAACAGCTGACATTTACCTTCTAGTATTTTAATATTTCAAAAGTGTTTTTATTATTGAAAGAATAGTTAAAGATATTTTAACAAGAAATATTTCATCAAAAGGTAATTTCAACTCAACAATGACGTTATCGCCATGCGATAAGGCAAAATATTTCATGAAATACATCATATATCTCCTTTGTATACCTTTTTAAAAGCTGATTTTATATCCCGTCGAAAGCCTCTGTTCGACACTGAGTAGATGATTGGATTAAGAGCCATTCCTATGAAGGCCAGTTCAATGGTCACTGTTTCCACAATAAAAGACATCCTCTCATTGGTCGCGATTTTGATCAATATGCAGATGATGTAGGGATACCAGAAAATAATATACGTGCTCACCACCATGATCATAGTTCTGATGACAGCGATGTCTGCTCTGTTCACTTGCTTCATCGGTTTCGTGTCTGTCCTAGGTGACCGATCAAGGAACCCTGGCTGTACTTCCGGTCTGACCGCACCATGACTAGTGGGGGGTGGCAGGGTATCTATGACGCTTACAGCTAAAGTATTGGCGGCAGCTTTGTCAGTGCGACTTGCCCATCTTACTGGCTCAAGTTGTATCCCGACTTGATCTGATTTCGTCTCTGAAGATTCGACACCAGCACTCGTATGAGGAGTGGCGTCTTTTGCATCTGCGTTTTTCCGTTGATGAACGTCGAGCCGACGTCGACTTTGAACTGCGATACGAACGATGCTTCCATAGCAGAAGAAGACAACACAAATGGGAATGCTTATGAAACCGATTACTAAAAACAGGGTATAAGAGACGCTAGCGATCCAGTCGTTGCTGCATATAGGTTTTACCGGTACCCAGTGATACCAACCCCACCCTACAAGAGGGGGTACAGCAGATACAAAGCTAAGGAGCCACATTGCAAAGATGATTACCCAGGGTCTTTTGAATCGCAAGCGATGAAGCGCAGTGTACTTGACCTTCATGTACCGATCGATCCCGATGGTCATCAACGTCAGGTTCGTGTTGAACATGGAGACATTCTTGATAAAAGCCATGGTTACACACGCGGTCTCGCCCCACACCGGCACGCGCAGGAACATGGTCATGGTCCCGTATGGCATGACGACAAGCCCCAGGATTGTCCCGCCGACACAGAGGTTGATGGTCAACTGATCGGACGCCGATCGCAACGGCCTCACTGCGTTGAGAGCTACGATGATGAAGATGTTCCCGACAGTCATAGCGACGGTGAGAAGACTCATGATGACGGTGAAGAAAACCAAGACACCATGGCTGTAGTCGATGATGTCCGCGTCAATTGGCGTTGGCGTCGAATCATTAACTAGAGAGTCTGTTGGTAGTGTAGAAGAATTCATCATTCCTGTTATAAATGAAGTAATCATCCAATGCATAATCCCATTAAAAAATATATTTATTATTTTTCAACCGTGCGATCTCTATCATTTTACACGTCATATCTACACCTCTCAGTGTAATTAAAAATAGTCAAAAAGTATGTAGCAGAAGATGAATCAGATAACTTGTGATTATATAAACAGATTGTTCTATCGAAACAAAGAATGATGCCAATGATGGCTAGTGTACAACAATCCATGAATGATATTGTAAAATTTGACAGCGACTGAAATACCACTTCATTGTGTGCCCACCTCGACCAGTAATGGATAACCTGTCCATCCTCTTGCGCGACAAGTGATATATTACATAAATTCGAACATGCAACCAGAGGCGCCTGTCACTCGACGTGTGCCGCTTAATTGTGACGTCACAACCATTTTCCCCCGAGCAGTGAGTGCCTTGCAAACATTGTCGCCTGCTAACTTGTCGCCAATGCGCAATGAAACTTCCGACATATTTAAATCTCAGGGATCCTCCATGCCTGCTTTGTGGCGACCAATGAGACGGCCTTCGTATTAGAACGCGCGACCGGATTACCGATTTATTTGCTCAAATCGGGGGAAAAGCCACACAGTCATATAGACTTGTGGTAAATGATCTTGGCAACACGTAAAATTCGGTTCTGGTATGGTTAATGATCAACGATTTGTTTTTGTATTTGATTGTATCCGGATTGTATCACCTGTTTGCTTGCGCGGTTTACTCGACACTCATAAACACAACGAGTACATTTCCACCTAAACCGAAACTATAAATACGCCAATTGGCTCTTTTACTCTTGATATTAGATTTGATTATTTCTTTGAAGAATTAGTTTGGAAGACAGTTCAGACAGATGAATTATTTGGTTGTGAAGGATGGAGGGTGAGGTTATGGAAACGAGTTTGATTTTATCTTATCACAATCCCTTCAAGACTTGATGTCCAAATTTTGATCCCAAAACTTTTATTGATTGATTTATTTCATTAGACGTATGCCAGTGTCCTTTTATATTTCTATTTCCGTCTTCTTCCTCCTGTAGCTGCTGCTACTTCTACTACTGCTGCTGATGTTACTACTTTTACTATCCTACTACTACATGTACTACTACTAATACTACTACTAATCCTACTACTAATCCTACTACTAATCCTACCACATATACTACATGTACAACTACTACTACTACTACTACTACTACTACTTCTATTACTACTAGTTCCTCTGATAAAAATGATGAATGTGGTAGTGCATGCAGTAGCGTTTTCAGCTTAGGTTAAAGCCAGCGTTTACCCCCCCCTCCCGTTTGAAGGCTCAACAACATAAATGCTGGACAAGAATCTTCATTGGGCCCCTCCCACTGCCTGGATACGCCACCGCCATGCAGTGCTGTTGCCGGTTCAATGATTTCTTACTCCACCACCCTGTCCATCAAACGCCTTTTTAGATTTTGCATCGCACCCATCCAAAAAAGAAATCGAAAAGCAATCAATACTGTACATCATCTGGTTTTTAATGAGACCCCATACTTGAAGAATGCCTTAGTTTCCCAGCAACTGTGTTTATCCAGACCACCGTTGATTGACTTTCACATTAGCATAGTTTCATTACTAAGCGTCATAATCTTGAAATCTGTAGATCACGCGCGGCACTATCAAAGAAAAGTGTCGATCACGGCCATGATTTCTTCACTTTTCATTTGCATTTGATAAATTTGTATCTAGCTACATGTAGAAAAAAGTGTTTGGAAACGAGTTAGCTTTTTTTTTCTTCTGGATTTGGGCAATTAAATTTGAATATGATATTTGATACTTCAGTCACACCAACAAAAGCGACACCAGGCCGACAATAGACCGAACAAACTACTTACAAAATTGGCAACACAATTGGTTGATTTGGATTCGGTGTGGAACGAATTTATTCAGATGTAAGGCGTAAAATATTTTTAAAAGTGTTTTTCTTGGTTTATTTGATATCATAATTAGACTAATTTGTATATACTTTTTCTTCCGTGTTGCACAATTTTTTTTCTTCTTCTCTTTAATAAAATCATCTTTATTCAAAATTGCTTTCGACTTTGCAAAACATAACAAAACATATATAAATATACATACATAATATAAACAATAGAATCAACAACAAGAATAAAGCTGATTATACGAGACATTGTGGTACATTTTTTTAAAGCAACCCAAGTTTTTTTATACCTTTTATCAAATGATACAAATGTGTTATTTTTAACATAAATGTATTGTTCAAGAGAACGATAATACCTTAACATGCATTTAAAAGAATTTAGTGAGAGTACGCCATTTTTACATTTGTTGGAAAATATATAGTATTTGGCATATAAAATGATAACATTTAATTGAACTCCAACTTTTTCAAGAAATCCCAAAAAGAAATTAATTTTATTCAAAGTAACTTTATCCTCTAAAATGAAATGTTGGGGCATCCACAATAGGCGGCTAAACCTTCTAATGATTGGGCAATCCCAAAATAAATGTTCTATAGATTCCATGGAGTTATAACAAAATGAACATAAGTCTGACTTCGAAATATTTAATAATTTAATCATTGTACCCTGGCTTTGGCCTAAATACTATGATAAGGCACTCAAGCATCTGACCTTAAGCGGGAAGGCTATCTATCATATTTATTTAATCTTCATTTTTGTAAACATTTTATATATATATATTTTTTATTTTATAGATTTCATTAATTAGAAGAATATACCAAGTGAACCATAAGTAAATGTATCATTCCTTCGTACATAGATATTTTATTTGTCATCATCAAAACCAGAATTCGGTGCTGTTTTGAATGATCTCTTAGAATACAAGTCTGGTTGGTTTTATCAAAACCATCACGTGACAAACTATCGGTGTAGATGGCGCCTTCTAAATCATGAGTGTCCGCTTTTCAGAGCGACAGAGGAGTGTTAAACTAAAGAGATTGCAGGGGAGTCGCTAGATTATTTTGATTTGGGGTGGTGCATTTCGCTACAAAGCCGGGTTTAATGGCACCGATTAAACATCGCTTACATTTTAACAATGATAACATTTATTTTTATTACTGTTTCTCTGATTTATATTTTTAATTTAAATTCTAAAATAGAAGAGGTTCATCTTTATATATTTAACCCTTTCCTGCTTCATATCTAACGAATAATGTAGGTAAAGTGAATGGGATAAGAGCTATGACTTTTGTATAACAATTCAGAAATTAAGGGATGAGAAAAAACTTTCGATTGATGGATTGATTGATTTTTATTCGACAAGCTTCCAACATACAACAATATACAATAATAACAGATCAAAAATAAGTCAGCTTGAACAGGATAACCCACGAAAGCTCGAGAGCTTATTTCCAGTGGGGTCCCTTACAGACATGTATAACATTAATAAGTTAAAATAGTAATATTTACAGACAGATAAGAAAAATAAAAGAATTACTTATTAAAGATAATAATAATAATAATAATAATAACAACATTAAACTGATGATAGAAATGATAATAAGTACAAGAAGAAAAAGAAGAAGGAGAGAATAAAAAGAGGAGGAGGAAGAAGAGGAAAATAATGATGAATTTGTAGAATTTCTATAACGTACGAAAACATAAGTATATACAAAATGAAAAAGTATGAACCGGCAGAAGAATACAAATTTCAATCATATAACATGTCATTCACTTCTCTTCTATGACTGTCAAGTATTATGTATTCCTTTAATTTCCTCTTTAAAATGAGCATAGTTTTCTATTTCCTTTACACCATTATGAAGGGAATTCCAATGTTTTATGGCATTGTAATAAAACGAATTTCCAATACTACCTACTCTTTCTGGTAAGTTAAACACACATACACACGCACACGCACACACGCACACACACACGCACACACACGCACTCCCACACACATACACACACAAAAACACACTCCCTCCCCCATTTCTCCCTTACTCTCCGCCACATCAATCTCAGGTTTACAAGGTAAGGAGGAGATAGGGTCAAGAAATATACAGGTAGGCTAGTAATCAATATCTATGAAAACCCTCTCCCTTCATACGTAAGTGTCATGTGAGATGTATCAAGGAAATTAGAGGTTCGTTATACTAATGTCAAGAGTCTTATATATGAGGTATTCATTTACTAGCGTCTGCGTTTTACTCTTCTGTTTTCACTATTTATTTTCAAAATGAACTAAGATTTGACCATGACCCGGTCCTAATTGTCTCATTTCTCCATCCGAAGATTCGGCTTCTTGAGACTTTTCGGCGCCAGCATTTGTAATGTATGATCGTGTTTGCGTTTCGTATCTTTATTTTACTCTTGGTTGATAAGAGTGAATCAAGGATAGATACGAGTTTTCGGCTGGTAGAATCAATTCAATGTCAAGTACTTTAATACTACTGACGTGGATAAAAAGCGCATGCGCTTTACGCAACACGTTTTCGTCACTTGATATTTGCACCTAAATCACCTAAATGCAGAACAGATATTATACCTCATCCTTTGAACCAAAGTTTCAGTCGTCTTCTTATAGTTGACGCCCTAAAGAACATCTCGACAGAACTTCAAATTTTTTTGACGATCGTTTCAGAAATTTGGCAACTCTTCCACTTTGACCAGATTGACAGGAAATCGGTAAGACCAATCACCCTTAAGCATTCGTTCCTGCACCTCAGTCCCACCATTTAAGAGAAATATAAAAACTCATTTGTTTTCTTTGTAATTGTTATTTTTAGAGTGTGATGCACTTGGAGAGCATCTAATTATTCTGATTTGATTTACTAATGTACAGCGCTTTGAGCATGTTTATGTAAAGGCGCTATATTAATATCAATATGTAGGTATGTATGTATGTATGTATGATCAAATTAAATAAATTAAGATCGCTAGGGCAAACATGAAAAAGCGGTTTCCCGTTGACGAAATATCAATATTGTATGAATATAGTGGCTTTCGATATACAAATATCTTTCTGTATCGAATGCATTTTTTTAGGGCGTTTTATATAGGCCTAGATCGTTCTATTACGTAACTAATATCATCCCGCCCGTGTATTTGTGAGGGGGGGGGGGGGGGCATAAGAATGTTCACATCAATTTGGACGATTTTCATACGTGTTTACGTGTTACTTAAGTTTATAATATGATTTTCATAAATTATATTATACAAAATTATAATTGTCAAATTTAAAGAAAAATAGCGTATTTTATTTTTGAAATACTGGCCTCAGAGTTTTTATTAAATCGGCCATTTCTTTGAGAAATAATGTGTAATTTTCCAAATAATATAATGCTATTCCCAAAATAATGATATGAATCATCTTGATAAAATCCCGTGTATACAGCAACTTCGTTTTTCTTTGCTTTAGTCCGAATATCCACATGTTGATTAAGTGTGTGTGTGTGTGGGAGGGGGGGGGGAGACGTCCAAAAAAAGGGACCCGCTTTCAAACATTCAACCGCAATATCATTTGAAATGCGATTGTTGCTATCTTTGCTTGATTGTCAGATATAGGTGTAATCAAATATACATTGTCAGATAAAGGTGTAAATGAGTTGAATTGAGTTGAGTTTATTTTATTGATACACGATAAAAGCCCGAAACAGTTTGAAGACCGGTTTAAACCAGGGCAGTGTTGATAAAAAGCAACAAAACAATGACATATAAACAAAAATAATATAACACTGACAAATTTAATACCATAACGTATTGTATAATGCAAAACAAGTTAATGTGATCAATTGATAATAAGCATTGAGAGTATAGATATGTGAAGTAGACATTAAAACTATATTGATAGGGCTAAAAGATTTTCAAAAATGAATTTGTCGGGGGGGGGGGGGGCTGAATATAGTAGAAACCAAACGAAATATAAGAAAATAATAAATAATTTAAGAACATAATGTTTATGTTAAATATTAAATAAGTACAAAAAACATGTAAAATTCATATCTTACACATGTTATACTTAAGGACAAATGTGTATTCCATATTTCGTAGAAGTAAAATGAAGTATGGGATAATAATCAATATTTAAGAACATATGAATATGGATGAGTTAAATATTACATAAATAAAACTTAAACAAAAGCAGAAACTGATACTGTATCGCGTAGATGAAAAACCAAACATAAACGACTAATAAATAAATTTAGAACTTGACACATAAATATGTGTACAAAGTCATATTACACACACTTAATAGACTTAAGCAAAAGGGATTTCCTATTGTGTAGGTGTAATATGAAGTATCTAAGAATGATAAATAGGGTACCTGGCCTGTAATAGCTGGCGTAGAATTTCAGCCCCCCCCCCCCCGTAGAGCATGCGGCCCCCCCAAAAAAAAAAAATGTTTAGCGTCCTGCCTTTTTGAAAAATAGGAAGGAGGAGGAGGCCTTTTTTTTCCCTTCAAAATGGCCACTCCAAATGGCCACTCGGTACATTTTCCCTGACAGTCGGGCTATTTTAAAGGATGGCCGCCGGAATTTTTTTTTAAAGGAGGCGTCCCCCAAAAAGTAAGCGGGCGGGGAAGCTAAAAACGTTTTTTTTTTTAATGGCGTAATTGATGCTTGTGAGGATTCCCTGAGGAAACAAAATTATCATTATCAATGTAAATAATTATGGATTATCATCCCACAGCACGACATCATGAATATACTCATTTTGATCACTGTTGTCGCAATGGCCACCGTGGGCAACGCCGCTTACAGCTGCCCTGAGTTTTGGAACTTATTCGGAGGGAACTGCTACCGATACCAGGGGGATAGATTGACATGGTCGGATGCTGAAGCCAGATGCAATGGGTACTTTACCAGCGCTGGAGTGGGACATCTAGCTTCGATCCATAGCCTTGCAGAGAACCGCTTCGTTTATGAGATGTTCAAATCAAGCGTGTCCATAAACGACATTCCAGATTGGGTGGTAGGATTTTACACTTTTTCCCCCCTTGAAAGCCATGCTAAATATTCCAAATATGAGATTGCCATGTTAAATATCAAGAGATCAAGTGAAGAAAGAATGTTGCCAAATAAAATGAATTTCCTTTTGCAAGACATTAATCCCTATTTGCCACACTTGACCAGGTGAATGTGTACCGGGCAAGAATTAATCAAATGTATGAGCTCTATAAGGACAGCAGTGCTATTAAAAGCCTGGGTAATAATATCAGAGCGTAATGAGTGACAGTGTTCCCGACGTGAGCGCTATACAAGAATCCAATCTTGTAATTATTATCATCATAATCATCATCATTATTATTCTCATTATTATTGTTGTAATTATTATTATAATCAATTATCATTATGATTGTCATTATTATTATTATTATTATGAATAATAAGAGGAGTAGTAGTAGTAGTAGTAGTAGTAGCAACAACAGTAGTAGTATAACTATTATTAATGTCTCATTATAATAATAGTAATTATTACCATAACAACAGTAATACTTAAAAATGATGATTATTAGTAGTATTACAAATATTATTGTCATGGATGATAAAAGCGCTAGTGCTCACTGAAATCAAAAGCACCAATCCTCAATGACCTACAATTCAAGGGAATGGGACTTCAAGGTGTAGGTCCCATATTTTCCCTTCTTCTTTGTCAAGAAACAAGTGCTTGTAGTTTCTCCAAAAGGCGCCTGCCAATGTTGTATAATTACCATAAAATGAATATGCATTGCTGATGTCATTTCTCTTCCTTTACTTCTTCAGTATAGCTTAGCAGACCGCAATCCAGTCTACGGGATATGGTTCGGACTTCACCAGACTGTGGCTGACGGGCCCTGGAAGAACTCTGACGATACAGACCAGGGCAATTTCTTCAGATGGGGTGGTGCAGAACCCAACAACGACTATTACGGAGGTGAACAGGTGGAAGACTGCGTCCACATCTGGCGCTATAACGATGCCTCAGACATTCAACAAACATGGAATGACATGTACTGCAACGAAGTGATGTCCTTCGTCTGCAAGATGCCAGCGGACGGGGAGTCTTGCGAGTAACTCAACGACAGATTGAGGCTATCGACCACTTTCCCGACTAACGTCAACCAATCATCAATATTATCCATTTTGGGTGTTAGTTTATGACTCTCTCTCTCTTCTCTTTCGTTCTCTCTTTCTCTGTCTCTGTCTCTCTTTCTCTGTCTTCCTCTTTATCTCTCTTTCTTTTCTCTCTCTCTCTCTCTCTCTCTCTCTCTCTCTCTCTCTCTCGCTCTCTCTCCCTACCCCCTCTCTATCTCTTTCTATACCTGTCCCGATAGAAAGAAAAAAAAAGAATTTACTCCTCTACATTATTTTGGTGGCGGTGTACCGAAAACTATTATGTCCTATTCCATGTTAACTTGAGTTGTGTGAAAGCTAAATAAAATCTCTGTTCTATGTGTCTCTTTCATTTAGACCGAAACGATTGTGGCGTGACCTAATAAGTACTGCTTAACTTTGCATGATTTTATCTCCTGAATGATAATGTGAGAATAGGTTATTCATAAGCCTTTTAGAAGCCTTATTTCTAAGCCAGTTTATTTCTCCAATACAATTAAAAAATGAAAGATAAACACGATCGCAACTGCTTTCGGAGCATCAACCTAAGGAATTTTTCTTGGCCTGTTACGTCACGGTTTGATATGTACGAACATTGAAGATGCTTACTACGTATTCGGAAAATTATTTTCTATGGGGCATACAATAGGGTATTGAAATTGCTCCTGATCAGTGATGATTTTGCGAAAGTAGTTGCGATCGTGTTTCGAAAAATTATATTTTTTCTTTTCAAGATTTTCATCCTCTGTACTTTTTGACACAATATATTGGCTAATAAAAGTGGGCAAAATGGGAATGACATGGAAAAGGCTGTTCTTAAAGTGATGTCCATTGCGCTGTGTGATGTAAATCTATAATGAGCGAGAAAGTTAAAAGTGAAGATCACAAGAAACGTTTACAGGCCTGTGTAGACCTCTCTGAACCAGACGATGACTATCAAGAAGGGAAATCCATCCTTTATAATAAATTAATTGGTATGAAAGTAGAAAAATAAGAGTATCCCCACGGTGACATGAACGATTCACCCAATTTGAAGTTCCCATTCCCGATAGTAAATACAACTTTTACAAATTCACAATCCCCTTTTTTTTGGTCCGATTTCGTTCAAATTTTCTCCAGTCGGCTTATTTATTTTGTCTCCTTCCTTTAAGTGTGATTCGTTATTAAGGTAGGATTTCCTTTGAGGGCAATACAATTATAGGATATATTTGAAATTAATACCATCTTCATAGCCATTAAGCGTACGTGCCGAATGGTCATTTGAATAGGAACATCAACATTATGGGGTAAGAAATCTTCCATTCGGCCCATTCAGCCAAAGGTCGGTGAGCGGTCGTGCTGACCCACACAAAGGTTACCCACATTAATTAACATTAGCATTAACCGCAAGTTGGATATAATTTTTCATTTGACAAAAAATTATAGTTCGATTGAAGAAAAGAGATTAATGCAGACCTAATCCAAAGTTGCGATTTCTTATTATCATTAGAACCTTAAAGGGGAAGTCCACCCTGAAATTAAGTTAGTTTTAATAGGAGTAGAAAAATGAAAGAAACAAGTCAGTGAAAGTTTGAGCAAATTCCGATTAAAAATAAGGAAGTTAGGATTTTTGAAGTTGTGATCAATCAAACACAAATTGGCAACTCTATGACGTATCATGCGAGCTCAACTTCCATTTGCTCAGTACTAAAAAAATCTAAAATTTTCATTTTCCCTCAAGAAAAATTTCAACCATACATGCACCCTAAATATAATAATTGCAAATATGTTTCTATACTCCCCCTGCAAGGAACAAATATATATTCCGTCATCAATAACGAAGAAAACATGATTTTATGGAATATTATGCACAAAGCAAATGAAGGAGAGCTCGTATAATAAGTCACAGAGTTGCCAATTTGTATTTGATTGATCACAACTTCAATAATTCATAACTTTCTTATTTTCATTCAGAATTTGCTCAAACTTTCACTCACCTGATTTTCTTATTATTCTGCCTCTATCGAAACAAACTTATTTTGGGGGTGGACTTTCCCTTTAACATGTAATATACATTCAACATCCAGTCTGTAATGTATTCTTAGTAGAGTATATAGCTGGTGCGGTGGCCGTAGTACGCTTCGGTTATGTGGGGCGCCGCCTATGAGTATATTGGAAAGGAGAGTTTGATGTGGTGGGTGCGTTGTTGGTAGCGTGTATGGGTGGGGGATGTGTATATTTATTTGTGAAGCATACAGAGAGAGAAGGAGAGAGAGGGGTTCCTTGATGTACAGGTTACACAGAAAGGTTGAAAATTCAGTTAGCTTTTCATTAAAAACTTCACAATTGATAATAATAATAATTAACCGTTCTTGTTTAGCGCATAACACATAGTAATAAAACATGTCCCTAAGCGCTTTAGAGAAAAACACAACAGAATACAAAGACAAGATGTACTGGGTAATAGACAAAATGGATGAATGTTAAATAAGTGCGTCTTTAAAGCAATCTTAAACTTAACAATGGAGTCAATGTTTTTTAGATGTTCTGGGAGATTGTTCCATAAAGTTGAGGCAGTGTGAGCGAAACTGCGTTCACCATAATGCATTTCATAACACCACACACAATGACATTAGGTTCCTGGTATAAACTTTCTCCGCTGGTGTAAATATAAATCACGAAGATCACAAAAAGACACTTAAATTAACAGAAAAGGAGAGAGCACTTAAGAGTGGTCGCTTGTAAGGCGCACCTCCTCTTGCTCATTGAGAGATGTCATTAATGTCATTTGTACTAGTTACAAACACACTAATGTCACTAAATAATGAAGACTTTTAGGCACTTTAAATATTATGAAATCACACGATCGACTTAAAGAATGCTCATTGATAATTAATACCTAAAACACAAGGTTTAGATATAGAGCACAATGTATCATTTTGTATTTAACAATCAACATACGTAATACAAACAATCCCTTAATGTAAAACCTAGAAACCCATAGTATTTAATGCCAGTAATGTCTGACTTTTTCACATTTTGTCCTTGCAGTATATCCCTTTACGACTTAGCCTTCTTAATACTGAGAAACTGAAATGAATTTATATATTTTGTATGAAACATCAAGTCAGCATATCGGCCTCGGCAACAACACTTTCAGGGCCATTTACCATGTCTATGATTTGCTATGCATACGGCCCGTACCTATATTCCTTAGATTTGGGCTTCCATGCGCGGATTAAGGCGGGGGGGGGGGGGACATCCAGCCCATGCCCCCCTTTTTGCGGCTAAACAAAAGAGAAAGAAAGAAAGAAAAAGGAGAAAAAGAAAAAATCATGCATATGGCACATGTCATGAAATATAATTGATATTGTTATTAACCATGTCATTCATCAGAAATGAAGGGAACAAAATCCATACAGAAATAAAGAGAAAAAAGAAAGATAGATTCTGACGAAATCAATAGGTGCTCTATTCGGCAGATCACCTAATTATAAATGCTAAACGACTGGTTCAAATGTAACAAGCTATTATTGAATATTACGAAAACAAAGTATGTATTATTCTACTTAATGAATCAGAAAAGGAAAACAATCCTTCCAACAATGACCCGATCAGAATTTTTAAAGTATAACAAAGGGATTCTCCCAGTATTTTTCGATAATATGTTTAGAACTAATTGTTCATTCCATACTTATCACACTCGTACTTGGGATAATCGTAGTGTTCTCATTAATTACCCGTTCAGCCTTATTAAAGAACCCATTCTATCCGTTTAACAGGAGTACATGAATGGAATTCATTTTGTAATAACCTTCAAATTGAGCTCCACACTTTCTCGTTTTAGAACTCTGTTCGAACGTTAAATTTGTGTAACAATATCTTCCTTGACTAAGTAGACCCTTTCTTATATTTCTCATTCTCCTCTTCACTTTCTTCTTTTTCTCTTTCCCTCCCTCTCCTTTTCCTTTCTTTCTCTTTCTCACCTCCTCTCTTTTTCTCTTTCTCATGTTGACTCTCCCTGTTTTGTACTGCTATTGTGTGATTGTGGGTGTGTGCATATTATATACATTGGTAATACCTGCTGGTAGTCAATGGTCTGGCTTTAAAACAAAAGTCTTCTTCTTCCTAATGTACGTATACAATATTATTTCGCTATTTAATTGTACCATTGTGTTTACCTTGATATGGGCTTACTCTTCAAGCACAAGTTACATCTTAGAGGTCCTGGCCTATTATTTATTCTGTATTTTTTTTTTAATGATAAATCACGCTGTTAGGTGACTGTGGTCTCGCATTTAGTAGGAAAGAAAAAAAATCTTTTTTTGCCGGGTCCATGGTTGTTGTTGTTTTTTGTGTATTTTTTTAAGTGGGGGGGGGGGGGGGCTCGAGTCCCCGAGCCTCGTCGTAGCGCGGGGCCTTCCCTTTCTAATGTAAGTTTTTCCGTTTCCAGGATCGCTATTAAGTATCATTTTTTACAATTTAACCATTCAAGATATAGCGTTTTTCTTTCTTTCTTTCTTACTATTTCTCTTTAACATACCTTTTCAAAAAAAGTGTGTGGGGGCCTAGACCACCCCCCCCCCCCCCCCCCCACCGAGCCATGCCATTCCGCGGGATCTGCTGCCGACGTGGATAAACGCGCATGCGCAACCCGCGACACGTTTCGTCATCTTTGCACATAAATCACCTAAAAGCAGAACATATATTACACCTGAACATTTCCACTACAGCTTCACTCGTATTCTAGTTGACGCCCTTTACAGTTCATCTCGACAGAACTTCAAATTTGTTTGACGATCGTTTCAGAAATTTGGCAACTCTTTCGCTTCGACAAAATTGAAAGGAGATCGGGTAAGACCAATTACTTTTTCAAGAATGATCAAATTAAATTAATTAAGATCGCAAATTCAAACATTTAAAAGCAGTTGCCGAAATATCAATTCGGTATGAATATAGTGGCGTTTGATATTCAACCATCTTTCTGTACTGAATGTACTTTTAGAGTATTTTATGTAGGCCTAGATCATTCAATTGATTAATATAGAACTAATTATATCCTGCATCAAACATTTGTTGGCTTTTGATTGGTTGAGAGCTCGTCACATGACCAGAAATATTTGAACTATTTTAAGAAAGTACTATACGAGAGTATTATTTGGGAGTACTATTTGGTTGAAAATATATATTTTTTGTTATTGATTTTTTTTTCTTTTTCAAATCTTAATTTAATGATAACAGAATATTTTAAATCTTTTTTGATAAAAATTGACATTTTTTTTTGTTTTAGACCTAAACAAAATATTTTTCCCAAAAATGTTTTTTTTTTTTTAATAATTTTTTTTACAAAAATAATTTTTGATGCAGGATATAAAACAAATATACCATGCCTTCTATTCGAGTTACTGGTTGAAAATATGGGCCTCGGTGACTCTAAATGTACCATTTGCTTCGGGGCTGCGCCCCTCAGCAAATAGTACTATTGGAGTCACCTCTTGCGCATAGTTTTAACCAGAACCTCTCAAGACAGTGTATATTTGTATACTATTCTCATCCTGTCTATCTTTTTTTTTTTGGGGGGGGGGGGCATAAGAATGACCGCATCAATTTGGATGATTTACGTGTATACCTATTAGTTGAGTTTCTTAATGGCAAATTATATCATTTTTTTTTCAGCAGATGTTTCTGCATTTATTAAAAAAAAATCAATTACAAAATATTAATAATGTAATAATATATAATATAATTCATATACATTAAAGATACTATGTTCCTTTTGCAGCCAACATCAAATTCTGTAGAAATTTGCAGGAATTATGAATATGTCATGTATGTCCTATCCGTGAAATTTAAAAGTTAGCAGTGTCCTAATATTCAAATTATGCAAGGAAAGCCGTTTACTTGCTAAACTTCACTGTCAGACACTATTGAGTGACTCACTGGCTTGTTTTCTTCTGTGGTAATAACATACATCAAATGAGCTTTAAATGGTATATGAGCATTTGTCTACATCAATAACCCACTTCTTGTAATGGCCAAAATTAAACTGATTGAATATTTGCGCAGCATAAAACGTACGACCATTCGGTACAATGGTTTTAACACCAGAAGTGAGCACTTTTTTTTTTTGGCCCTCGAAAATTTGCAAATTTGCACTCCCCCCCCAAAAAAAAACACTAAATTTCACGTGTTTTTACACGTTTTTTTTCCCGGGCGGATCCAGGGGGGGGGGCCGGGCCCCCCCCCCCCCCCCCCCCCCCTGGATCCGCCACTGCACATGGTAACCGTTAGGGTTAGTGATAGTGTTATAATAATCATGAAAAATACCTTTCATCAACCCATCGTTAGCTCAATCGGTAAGGACAGCTTAATTCACTGTTAGAGTTGTAGGTTCGAGTCTCAGTTATTATTCAGTTCTATTTTTTCCCTTTATAGATAGTGAGGCAAAGCAATAAATAATCAAAGTCTAATTGTTTGTGACCTTATTCCAAGCTGATAATGACGTAAAACATATTAGCCAAGGTACATGACTCTGTTATAGGAGTATGTAGGAGAATAGAGTATCACGTATAAAGATTTTTTTTCAGAATATAAAGTGGGAAGAAAGAAAAGAAAGGATTTTCTTATTTTGCAAGTGTATTGTATTAATTTATATAAACAAACAATTGTTATTATTAAGACCCTTATAATGTTTAGGACTATTTGGACATTAAATATTTTGTCATCGAGGCTTTGAATGAATAAAGAGATTAAGAGTGTTTAATATTGTCAGGTAAAGCATTCCAAATATCTCGACCATGGTGTCTTATCGATTTATAGGCCATGCTAATTTTAGGGTTACTTAAATGGAAGTCGGATGAGTGTCGTGTAGGATAAGAATGTATATTACTATTGTGAACAAAAATATTTCGAAATGCCAAGAGTTTTGTATTTATCCAACATTTATACATAAAGATTGCAGTTTGAAAAATGTGAATATCAGCAATTTTCAATGATTTTAGTTTATGAAATAGTGGATCAGTATAGGCTAAATAATGCGAATGTGTACAAATACGGAGTGCTTTCTGTTGGATACGATATATTAACATAATTTTCATCGTATTACTATTACCCCATACTATGTTACAATATGATATGGATGACAAAATGAAAGAATTGTAAAGCATAAATAGTGACTTTTGTAAAAGATAATATTTGAATTTATATAGAATGCCTATGCCTCTCGAGACTAACATGCAAATGTTATTAATATATTAATATTCCATATTAGATTTGAGTTTTGTAACTTCTTTTTCAATTATGGCCATGTCATCTGTACAAATATTATAATGAAGTACATGTTTAGAGTGTATGTTTTGAAATAAATATAAATAGTCTTATCAATATTTAGAGAGAGTTTATCGGATTTGAACCAAGATGGTAAAATTTTTAATTCTAAATTGAGGGTTGTAATAAGAATGTTTAAGTCTTTATGTGAATAAAATGCGTTAGTATCGTCTGCGAAAACAACATATGTTAGGAGTGGTGATGCATTAACAATATCATTCAGATAAATTAAAAAACAGTGGCCCGTACATACAATGAGTGGTCAAATTTGAAGAAAATGGCGTACGGTATTGTGTAAAAATGCCTATAAAAGGTTTATTAATGTCCTCAGAGTTTTTCTAACATTGGCCATTTTTTTGAGAAATAATGTGTCGACCTAACGTTATAAAAAATATTTTTTCCAAGAGAATAATAAAAAACATCATAATAAATATAAAATAACACAACTTCGTATTTCTCTGCTGTAGTCCGATTTAAATACCTACAGGTTGATGAAGTGGGGATGGGGTACACATCAAGAATACAACAAAAGAGTGCCCCCTTTCGAACTTTCAACCAAAATATCATTTGAAATGTGATTCATTGTTGTTGGTGAGAATTCCCTGGGTAAAAAAAAAAATCATTATCAACGTAACTAATAATGAATCATCATTCCGCAGGACGACATCATGAAGATACTCATTTTGATCAGTGTTGTCGCAATGGCCACCGTGGGCAACGCCGAGTACAGCTGCCCTCAGTTCTGGAACTTATTCGAAGGGAACTGCTTCCGATACCAGGGGGATAGATTGACATGGTCGGATGCTGAAGCCAGCTTTACCAGCGGTGGAGTGGGACATCTAGCTTCGATCCATAGCCTTGAAGAGAACCGCCTCGTTTATCAGATGTTCAAATCAAGCGTGTCCCTAAACGACATTCCAGATTGGGTGGTAGGTTTTAATTACACTTGTTTTTTCGTTGAAAGTCATGCTAAATATTCTTAATATGAGATTGCCATGTTAAAGGGATAGTTGAGTTCTGTTGCAGAGGGCGCTACACATTATAATTTTTTGTGAGATAATGAAAACTGACCGTCAAATTTGAAAGAACATATAATTTAAATGAAAAAAAAATCACCATTGGCAATACTTGTGTGTACCACCACAAATATTAGATAATTTGAACCAGCCGTTGAAAGCGGTTGAAAAAATGAAATAGCACATTTTACGTTGTATTTCAGCCAATGCAGATGTTGGCTTTTTTGTTGGATTTTTCGTGTTGGTTATTTTACGCACAATCAGCCGGCCCATGTATTGTTATTATTATTTAATTAATGGTCACCGTATTTTTTTTAAAGTGGAGCTGATTTGGTATGATCGTATTGGTTAAATTTCACACATTTTGGGGTCTAAAATTGCCTTTTTAGCAATTTTAGTTTCTAAAAGGGCACTAGAAATGTCATAGATAAGAATAAGAGCAATACCACGCACTTTGAAGGCATTTGCGATCTGGAAACAGAACTCAACTTTCCCTTTAAATTTCAAGAGATCAATCGAAGAATTTAACAAGAGGAAGGACTGTTGCCAATTAAAATGAACCTCCTTTGGAAAGACATTAATCCCTCTTTGCCGCACCTGACCTAGGTGAGGTAAATGGATACCCGCAATAATAAATTAAATGCATGAGCTCTGTGAGGACAGCAGTGCTATAAAGCCAGTGTAATGATATCAGAGCGCCAGGAGTGGCAATGTTCCAGACGTGAGCGCTATGTATAAGAATCCAATCTTGTAATTACTATGATTATAATCATCACCATCATCATTATTGCTATTAATATTGTTGTTGTTGTTATCATGATTAATATAACTATTATTTTCATTATTATTATTTTTATCATTAATAGTAGTATTACGATTATTATTATTAATATTATTATTATTATTATTATTATTATTATTATTATTACTAACATTATTGTCATGGAGATAAAAGCGCAAGTGTCATAAAACACTAATCCTCAATGACCTACAATCCAAGGGAATAGGACTTCAAGCCGTAGGTCCCCTATTTTGCCAAGAATAAAAGTCCTTATGGTTTCTCCAAAGGGCCCCTGTGAATAATTACCATAACATGAAGTGCCTTGCTAATGTAATTTTTCTCCCTTTAATACTTCTTCAGCATAACACAGAAGACCACAATCCAATCTATGGGATATGGCTCGGACTTCACCAGACTGTGGCAGACGGCCCCTGGAAGAACTCTGACTATACCGACCAGGGTGATTTCTTCAGATGGAGGCGTCTAGAACCCAACAACGACTACTACGATAGTGGACTCGCGGAAGATTGCGTCCACATTTTGGCACTTTAACGATGACTCCGACATTCAACAAAAGTGGAATGACGTGTACTGCAACGAAGTGATGTCCTTCGTCTGCAAGATGCCAGCGGACGGGGAGTCTTGCGAGTAATAAGTGGTCTCCATTTTCCTTTTGACTCAACGACAGATTATTGGCCCGAATTCACAAAGGAGGTTTACATTTAACCCATGGTTTAAAAATTAGCGCAAAATAAGCGTACCTTGCCTTGCGCGCGTCTAATATTGGACCTCTTGACTGTGTTGCGCTTATTTTGCGCTAATTTTAAACCATGGGTTATGCAAATGAAGGTTTAAACCATGGGTTAAATGTAAACCTCCTTTGTGAATTCGGGCCATTGGACCACTGTGGACCACTATGGACCACTTGCCCGACTAACGTCAACCATCAAACGTCATAACGTCAAACGTCATAACGTCATAACGTCATAACGTCATAACGTCAAACGTCAAACGTCAAACGTCATTGGTCCACTATGGACCACTATGGACCACTATGGACCACTTGCCCGACTAACGTCAACCATTCATCAATATTTTCCATGTTTGGTGTTAGTTTATATATTTTTTTTCTCTCTCTCTTTCTCTCTCTCTCGCTCTCTCTCTTGCCCTACCCCCCTCTCTCTCTTTCTATATCTACCTGTCCCGATAGAAAAAAAATGAATTTACTACTCTCCATTACTTTGGTCGCGGGGTACCGAAAACTATTATGTCCTATTCCATGTTAACTTGAGTTGAGTCAAAGTAAAAAATAAAAAAAATCTTTTATGTGTCTCTTTCATTTAGGTCAACACGATTGTGTTTAATAAGTACTGCTTAAATTTGCGTGATTTTATTTACTGAATAATGATGTGAGAAGTGGTCATTTATAGGCCTTTACAAGCCTTATTTCTAAGCCAGTATCTCTCTTTAATACAATAACTATATATATTTTTTTTATTGCTGTCATCTCCCCCAGCCTGTGTGTGTTTTTCAGGACCAGCTTTTCTTCAGGACTCCATTAAAGTCCATCGAATAATTTTCCGTTTTCTTATGATAATTTTATTTTTAAAAACAGCATTTTGGGGGTAACGCCCTTGTTTAATCACACGAATATCTTTCCAAGAACATTGGCTTTATTCACCAAAGTGTATGCGTTAATATCCCTCTGGCTTTCAGCATTATTGATAAACCAAATGCAATATCCTCAGCATGATGTGTAATATCTATTCCATTTAATGCAACAAAAGCGTTGACAAATATGATTAATCTTATCGATAATAGAACCATCTCTGTAGTCGAGGTAGTATCAGAAAATCGTGTATTGTTCTACCGACGATTCGTAACTAAACACGATCTCAACTGGCAGTTTTCTTGGCCTGGTATGTCACCTTGTGAAATGTGCGAACATTAAAGATGCATATTACATAATCGGAACATTATAGCATACAATAGGGTGATGATGAGTGATAATTTTGCGAAAGTAGTTGCGATGGTGTTCCGAAAGAATTATATTTTTTCTTTTCAACATTTTCATCCTCTGTACTTCTCTGACACAATTGACTAATAAAAGTGGGAGAAACGTGAATGCCATGGAAAAGACATTTTCATCCTCTGTACTTTCTGACACAATTGACTAATAAAAGTTGGAGAAACGTGAATGACATGGAAAAGACCGTCCCTAAAGTGTCCATTAAGCTATGTGATGTAAATCTACAGCAAACGACAAAGTTAAAAGTGAATATAACAAGAAAAGTTTACAGTCCTGCACAGACCTCACCGAACCAGATGATGTTTTTTAAGTAGGGAAATCCATCCTTTATAATAAGTTCATTTTTATGAAAGCAGAAAAATAAAAGTATCCCCACGGTGACATTAACGATTCAACCAATTTTAACCCTATTTAGCCCGGGCTATTTTGAAACTGCATAGCCCGGGGGGGGGGGGGGGGGGGCTTCTAAGGACCCCCCCCCTATGATCTCGGCCGTGAACTGCCCGATCGCCGCGAAAATTTGCATACATGTCAAGTGAAGTGTATAGAATACTATGGTAATTTCAATTTTTTGAAAAATTCACTCATTTGCATATATATGGTAATTTATGCAAATAAGGTCATAAAATTCACATTTCTGCCCATAAAACAGACATTATTCATATTTAAGCATTCTTTCTTACCACATATATTTTTTAGACCATTTGGAATAATAATACAACACAAAAAATTGAAAAACCAGGGTTATTCCTTATGTTATCTATTGTTTTGATAATTTCTTATGTATTTCTTTGTTTTTTTAACTTAAGTATTTTATTGTTTTTGTTGTTTTATTTCATTTCCAACTATAATTCACTATTTTGACCCCCAAAATAAACACCTAAACTATAAACAAGACCAAATAACCAATGTTTTATCTCTTTATTTGAAAAATGAGATTTCCATATGTTTTGTACACAAATCAAAAAAATGAGCGATTTTCGGGCTGACATGCAAAGACAAAAGGACACGTGACTTCGTAATGGTAGGTCCGATTTTCGAAAAATTTCTTTCAAAAGATGTGCAAGACTCGAAAGAAAAAAGTCACAAAATTTCAGTGCGAGATTTTCTTGCGTTAAAAAATAATCTCGAAAAATGTCGAGGGGGGGGGGGGGGCTTCTAAAGCCCCCCCCCCGGGCTAAATAGGGTTAAGTTTCCATTCCTATATTAAATACAACTTTTACAAATTTACAATCGTCTTATTTGTGGTCCGATTTCGTTAAAACTTTCACCAGTCGGCTTTTTTATTTCGTGTCCTTCCTTTTAGTGTAATTTGTTATTAAAGTTGGATTTCCTTTGAGGGCAATAAAATTAACGGATATATTTGAAATTAGTAATATGTTCATAGCCATTTTAAAGCGCACGTGCCGAATGGTCATTTGAATAGCAACATCAACAATAACGGGGTAAGAAACCTTCCATTCGGCCCAATCAAAGTTGCAATTTCTTATTATCATTAGAAGCGTAACATGTAATACATCCAAAGTCCAGTCTTAAATTAATTCTTAGTAGAGTATAGCTTGTGCGGTGGCCGTAGTACGCTTTCTTATTATCATTAGAAGCGTAACATGTAATACATCCCAAGTCCAGTCTTAAATTAATTCTTAGTAGAGTATAGCTTGTGCAGTGGCCGTAGTACGCTTTCTTATTATCATTAGAAGCGTAACATGTAATACATCCCAAGTCCAGTCTTAAATTAATTCTTAGTAGAGTATAGCTTGTGCGGTGGCCGTAGTACGCTTTGGTTATCTTGGGTGACGCATATAAGTGTATGGGAGAGGAGAGTTTAATGTGGTGGGTGCGTTGTTGGTATCGTGTATGGGTGTGGGGACGTGTATATTTATTTGTGAGGCCTACATAGAGAGAGAGAGAGAGAATGAAAGAGAGAGAAAGAGAGAATGAAAGAGAGAGAGAAAAAGAGATTGGTGTTTGGGGGGGGGGGCTCTAGCTAGACCCACCTCCACTGAGACATTAATCTGGAAATCTGTCGTTGACGCGCTGTACTTTAAAGGGAAAGTGTGCACTAAGGCCATGATTTCTTTGAATGAGAAAGGGTTTCACATTTAATTTGCATTTTATAATGTTTTATGTAGCTAGAAGAAAGCATTTGGAAATGAGTTGGATTTTTTTTTCTGGATCTGGGCAATTAAATTTGAATATGATATTTGATACTTCAGTCACACCAACAAAAGCGACACCAGGCCGACAACAGACCGAAAAAACTACGAAAAAAACAGAATTGGTTGATTTGGATTGGGTGTTGAGTCGGTTCGGCGGTGTGACCGAGGTATATTAACAGTGATTTGCTGTCAAACTTCGCTCGACAAGTATAAGAGATTAAATAGAAACTGGTCTGTGTAGAGAGGCAATGTATATATAATGCGAAATTAAATGAGAGAATATGGGTTTTGTGTCTTAAATCAAAGTTCCCTATTGCTGTCCTCACTCTATGGAAGAGAGAGATTATGTTTAAATTAAAAGCAATTTCGGACGAACTTTTTGCTCGGTCGATCCTCCATTCCATGAAACATGATAAAGACAGTTTACGAGTTTTAAAGTTCAACAAATCTTGTCATTGTAAATTCCCGCCCTATCCAACCCAACCCATCTCTCTCTCTCTATTAAAAAACAAATTTATTCAAATGTTAGGCGTACAATAGTTTAAAAAGTGGCTGTCTCGGTATATTTAATATCAAAATTAGACTAAATTGTATATCCTTGCTTCTAAACGAATATACTTTTTTTTCCGTGTTGCACGAAATAATTGTACCCCGACTTTGGCCTAAATACTATGATTAGGCAATCAGACATCTTTCCTTAAGCGGGGAGGGTATCTATCATATTTTTTTCATCTTCATTTAAAGCAAAACAAAATATTTTATTAATATAGATTTCATTAATTGGAAGAATAAACCAATAGTGAACCATTACTCAATTAATTATTTTTCTAATTCCTGGGTATGTACTTCGTACTGAGATATTTTATTTGTCATCATAAACAAAAACAGAATCCGATGCTGTTTTGAATTATCTTTTAGAATAAAAATCTGTGGGTTTTATTCAAAACTATCACGTGATATACTATCGGTGTAGATTGCGCCCCTAAATCGTGTGTCTCCGCTTTTTAGAGCGACAGAGGAACGTAAAACTAAAGAGGTGCAGGGGAGTCGCTAGATTATTTTGATTTGGGGTGATGCATTTCGATACAAAAACTTGTTTAATGGCACCGATTTAACATCGCTTACATTTTAACAATGATAACATTTTTTTGTATTACTGTTTCTCTGATTTATATTTTTAATTTAAATTTTAAAATAGAAGAGGTTCATCTTTATATATTTAACCCTTTCTTGCGTCATATCTAATGAATAATGTAGGTAAAGTGAATGAAATAAGAGCTATGACTTTTGTATAACAATTCAGAAATTAAGGGATGAGAAAAAACTTTCGATATCTTAAAAACTAAAGGAAATAAAGGAACAATCGTTTTTTTTATTAGTTGGTGTGCGTGTTGTGAGAATGAATTTGTGTGGGGGGGGGGGGGAGATCATGGGCAGATAAGTGTGTGTGTTTGTGGGTGACTTCCGTTCCCCATTATATTTACGTCCTTTCATCTTGCTCTTTCTATGTTTCTTTCGCCCATCCCTTCTCTCTCTGCCTCACATACACACACACACGCACACACACACACACACACACATAAACACGCACAAACACACACACGAACGCACGCACACACAGACATACCCTCCCCCATTTCTCTCTTACTCTCGCCCACACCAATCTCAGGTTTACAAGGTAAGGTAGGTTCAAGAAATATACAGGTAGTAAGCAATATCTATGAATATCCTCTCCCGTGACATGTAAGTGTCATGTGAGATGTATCAAGGAAATTAAAGGTTCGTTATACTATTGTCAAGAGTCTTATACCTGAGGTTTTCATTTGCTAGCGTCTACCTTCTACTCAGTTTACAGTATCTATTTTCAAAATATGAACTAGGGTTTGCCCATGACTCGGTCCTTGTCTGTCTCATTTCTCCACCTGAAGACTAGATCTGGCTTCTTGAGACTTTCCGGTGCCAGCATCGTGTTTACGTTTCGTATCTTTATTTTACTCTTGGTTGATGTGAATCAAGTGAAGATTCGAGTTTTCGATTGGTAGAATCAATTCCATGTCAAGTACTTACTGCCGACATGGATAAAAGCGCATGCGCTATCCGCGACACCTTTTCTTAATCTTTGCACCTAAATTACCTAAAAGCAGAACAGATATTATACCTGATATCATTTGCACCAAAGCTTCAGTCGTATTTTTATGGTTGACGCCCTAAAGTTCATCTCGACAGTACTTCAAATTTGTTTGACGATCGTTTCAGAAATTTGGCAACTGTTCCACTTCGACAAGATTGAAAGGAAATCGGGTAAGACCAATTACCCTTTTCAAGAATGATCATATTATATTAATTAAGATCACATTGTTGATAGAAAAGGTGACTCGAAATCTATCACAGAATTTAAGAAAATGGGTTTAAACAACATTGAAATAAATATAATAAAACAGTTATATGAAGGCATTCCATTCTCATGAAAAACTCTTTTGAATATATATGAACATCCTTGTGAGGATACCGGATTAAGTTTAGAATTTATTATTAACGAAAACCCCCACTCTTTGTATATCGTACCATATTGCTCCGGTTGTCTCATTTTCGCTCGCCGTCACTACCGAACTCGAATGTTCCACTATGTTGCAGGGTGTATATGCCATTGAGTATGATGTGTGAACCGGGTGTGCGGAAATGGTGTGTTGAGGAGGGGAAGTGAGAGTGTTCATGTGTGTGGTAATTGTATGTGTGTCAACAATTAAAGAATACTACATGACAGATGGCTAATCATACATCTACAATGACGAGTAAACTGTGTACATCACAGTCCACAGATAAATGTGCCTTGAACGTATATATAGCAGACGGCAATCGGCGGATCAGACGACACTTGATAGTGATTTTGTATGTGAGATTGCTTTGCTAAATATAAAATACAAGAATCTTTTCCATATCTTTAAACTAGCATTGATATCTGATAATTAAACAGTAAGTAAAATAAACCTACCAAACTACACAATACAATGAAATAATTGACTGTGAGTAGGGGAGTTTGATGTGGTGCACAATTGCACCCCTCTGTAAATAATCGAATAGTCCATGGTGTTCATGAATATTCATGTTTTTGCTTACCTCGGCAAAATGCTTGCCTATACTAAATGGAAAAATTACGGTGGGGGGGGGGTTGGCTGAAATGGACATAATGATCAAATCAGAACTGATCTATGATAATTCATGCTTGTTATCCTTCGTGTGCTTGACTTATAACCTTACAATCGAGTGGCAAATTGCGTCCAAAGTTCGACTTGTTGCACATGTGTTATATAGGCAATGGCGAGCTGGCGACCTATTTTGACCAAATTACGGCGGGTAAACTTTCAAAAGTCAATGGGACATGAGGGTTCCAATGAAAGAGCTAGTGATAACGTACGTCGGGTTGGATGTGCTTTTCGTTTAAACAAAATAACAAAAAGAATGTTTAACGATTTTGGGGGGTAAAAGTCTATAGGCTAACATGTTTATAGGCTGCTGGACTCTGACGATAGGGGGCGTTGTCAAATGAGACTAAACGGAGCTATATGATTGTTAAAGATGAGAACGAAAAAATCTTATCAGTGTTACAAGCAACTTAGAACGTACATATAATATGGTCGAAAATGACACGGGAACAATTTTCTTAAGACCCCGAAAATCCACTCTGGACAGAAAGCTGAGGGGATTTCAATATAAAATGTTATAAAATTTAATTTATACAAATAAGCATCTATACACTTTCAAACATGCAGTGAGCAATCTTTGCTCCTTTTGCAATAAACACGAAAAGACCTATGAACATTTCCCTGTGAAAAGGTAGCAAACATTTGAAAAGACTGCGGTGACCTTTTTGCTTTATCAGCGTTAAAAAATCTACACTCAATCTGGCAAGAAATTCATATCGGGATAAAAAGATCCAATGCGGGAGAAGAACAACGGTTAAATCACATTATTCTTTTAACAAAAAATATGATTTTTAAATATAGTTCAACTGAAAATAGACCCCCAATTCCTCAAGAAATTAAAAAAAGAATTATAGAAAATAGGCAAGAAGAAAAGGAATTGGCGGGGGAGAGAGGCACTTTAAATACTTCACGTCAAAAAATGGGACAACTTCCACAGTTAAGGACGGTGAGGCAAATACTTCTTTCTCAGAGTGAGCACAATATTTTTTTGGGCCCTCGAAAATTTGAAAAATCGCGCCCCCCCCCCCTTGTGAGTACCAAGGGGGGGGGGGGGCCCTCTCCAAAAAAAAAAGGTAAAATTAACGTGTTTTCATACGTTTGTTCCCAAGGGGGGGGGGCTAGCCCCCCGGGCCCCCCTTGATCCGCCACTGGTGGGGACCAGGGGGGGGGGGGGACAGAGCAGAGCCCCCTGGTGAACACATTTTTTTTACGGGCCCTCAAAAATCTGAAAAAATCGCACCCCCCTTGAGCGCCAGGGGGGGGGGGGGATCTCCCCCAGAAGGTAAAATTAACTTGTTTTCACACGTTTTTTTCCCCAGGGTGGGGGGGGGGGCCGGGCCCCCTGGACCTCCCCCCTTTTCTGGATCCGCCACTTGGGTCTGAATTTAGTAGAAACCAAACGAAATATAAAAAGATAATAAATAAGTTAAGAACACAATGTTTATGTTAAATATTAAGTAAGTGTAAAACACATGTAAAAGTCATATATGACACATATTATACTCTAGGACAAATGCGTATTCCATATTTTGTAGAAGTAAAATGAAGTATGGGATAATAATCAATATTAAGAACATATGAATATGGATGAGTTAAATATAACATAAATAAAACTTAAACAAAAACAGAAACTGATACCGTATCGCGTCGATGAAAAACCAAATATAAACGAGTAAGAAATAGGTTGAGAACTTGAGACATAAATATGTGTACAAAGTCATATTACACATATTTAATAGACTTAAACAAAAAAGATTTCATATTGTGTAGGTGTAATATGAAGTATCTAAGAATGATAAATAGGGTACCTGGCCTTTAGTAGCTGGCGTAGTAATTTTACCCCCCCCCCCCGTAGAGCATGAGCCCCCCCCCCGCAAAAAAAAAAAAAAAAAAATGTTTAGATTCCTGCCTTTTTGAAAAATAGGAAGGAGGACGATGCCTTCTTTTTTCCTTCAAAATGGCCGCTCAAAATGGCGGCTCGGTAGATTTTTCCTGACAGTCGGGCTATTTTTTAAGATGGCCGCCGGAATTTTTCAGAAATAGATCTTACCTTTCCGATCTCATATCTTTACGTTCCCGTACGTCGTCACGAACACTTCGTTCATCTTCCACATTACTGTTAACACCTGGACCCCGCACTAACACCCGGTATGGTGACCGCGCCTTTTCAGTTATTGCCCCCGCTCTCTGGAACAAACTGCCCGCCTTTATTCACTGCGCCCCCTCTGTATCTCAATTCAAATCTCTAAACCTATCTTTTCAAATTGTAAATTGCAGTTGTGCGCCGGTCAATGGAGGTGCGCACCATATTTGTCTTTATTTAGTTGATTTCCACTGTTTTTCTTACCTTATCTATGTTACTTTTGTATTTTTGCTTTTTTCTTCTAATTTAATTCTACGGGTTATAGTCTTCTCTTAATCAGAACACTGTGCGCTTAGAAACATCAGTATTAAGCGCCTAATAAATGTTATGTATTATTATTATTATTATTATTATATTAACAGTATGTTTTTCTTGTTTTTTTCTTTAAAAACGTGAGGATTCCCTGGGGAAACAAAATTATCATTATCAACATAAATAATTATAAATCATCATTCCACAGCACGACATCATGAAGATACTCATTTTGATCACCGTTGTCGCCATGGCGACCGTGGGCAACGCCGGTTACAGCTGCCCTGAGTTCTGGAACTTATTCGGAGGTAACTGCTACCGATACCAGGGGAATAGATTGACATGGTCGGCTGCTGAAGCCAGATGCAATGAGGACTTTACCAGCGCTGGAGTGGGACATCTAGCTTCGATCCATAGCCTTGCAGAGAACCGCTTCGTTTATGAGATGTTCAAATCAAGCGTGGGCATAAACGACATTCCAGATTGGGTGGTAAGATTTTACACTATGTTTTTCTTAGACCATGCTATTCCAGATATAAGATTGCCATTATATAGTTAAATTTCAAGAGATCAATGAAAAATTTAACAAGAGGAAGGAATGTTGCTAATTAAAATGAACTTCCTTTGGCATGACATTAATCCATAGTATTATTAGCCACACTTGACCCAGGTGAGGTAAATGGGTACCCGGCAAGACTTAATTTCAAGGATGAGCTCTGTAAGGACAGCAGTGCTAAAGCCAGGGTAATAATAACAGAGCGCCAGAAGTGGTAGTATTCTAGACGTAAGCGCTATATAAGTTTCCAATTTCGTATCAACTTCAATTCAATTTCATTATTGTTTTATTTTGTTTTATTATTGTCGTTGTTGTTGTTGTTATAATTAATTAACATTATTATCATTATTATTATTATTAGTAGTAGTAGTAGTAGAAGTGGTAGTAATAGTAGTATTACTACCATTGTTATTATTATTATTGTCTTGGAGATAAAAGCGCTAGCGCACTATTCCTCAATGATAGGACTTTAAGTCCCCTATTTTTCCCTCCTCTTTTGCCAAGCAAAAATTGCTTGTAGTTTCTCCAAGGGCACCTGCCAATGTTTTATAATTACCATTACAAAAAAAATCTGCTTTAATCTGATGTAATTTCTCTTCCTTTACTTATTCAGTATAACAGAGAAGACCCCAGTCCAGCCTACGGGGTATGGATCGGACTTCGCCAAACTGTGGCTGACGGCCCCTGGAAGAACTCTGACGATACAGACCAGGGTGATTTCTTCAATTGGAGGAGTACAGAACCCAACAACAACTACTACAATGTACAGGTGGAAGACTGCGTCCACATCTGGCGCTTTGATGATGACTCCGACATTCAACAAACGTGGAATGACATGTACTGCAACGAAGTGATGTCCTTCGTCTGCAAGATGCCAGCGGACGGGGAGTCTTGCGAGTAATAAGTGGTCCACATTTTCGACCACTTGCCTGACTAACGTCAACCAATCATCAATATTATCCATTTTGGGTGTTATTTTATAATTCTCTCTCACTTTTTTTATTCTCTCTCTCTCTCTCTCTCTCTCTCCCTTTCTATATCTACCTGTCCCGATAGAAAAAACTGAATTTACTACTCTCCATTATTTTGGTGGCGGAGTACCGAAAACTATTATGTCCTATTCCATGTTAACTTGAGTTAAGTCAAAGTAAAACAAAAACAAATCTTTCATGTGTCTCTTTCATTTAGGTCAACGCGATTGTGTTTAATAAATACTGCTTAAATTTGGATGATTTTATTTACCGAATAATGATGTGAGAAGTGGTCATTTATAGGCCTTTACACGCCTTATTTCTAAGCCAGTATATATCGCTCTGTAATACAATAACAACATATATATTTTATTGCTGTCATCTCCCCCAGCCTGTGTGTGTTTTTCAGGACCGGCTTTTCTTCAGGACTCCATTAAAGTCCATCGAATAATTTTTCGTTTTCTTATGATAATTAAAAGAAAAAAAGCATTTTGGGGTAACGCCATTGTTTAATCACACGAATATCTTTCCAAGAACACTGGCTTTATACATCAAAGTGTACGCGTTTATATCCCTCTGGCTTTCAGCATTATTGATGAACCAAATCCAATATCCTCAGCATGATGTGTAATATCTATTCCATTTAATGCAACAAAAGCGTTGACAAATATGATTAATCTTATCGATAATAGAACCATCTCTGTAGTCGAGGTAGTATCAGAAAATCGTGTATTGTTCTACCGACGATTCGTAACTAAACACGATCTCAACTGGCAGTTTTCTTGGCCTGGTATGTCACCTTTTGAAATGTGCGAACATTAAAGATGCATATTACGTAATCGGAACATTATTGCCTATGGGGCATACAATAGGATATTGAAATTGCTCCTGAGTGATGATTTTGCGAAAGTAGTTACGATGGTGTTCCGAAAGAATTATATTTTTTCTTTTCAACATTTTCATCCTCTGTACTTTCTGACACAATTGACTAATAAAAGTTGGAGAAACGTGAATGACATGGAAAAGACCATTCTTAAAGTGATGTCCATTAAGCTATGTGATGTAAATCTACAGCAAACGATCAAGTTGAAAGTGAATATAACAAGAAAAGTTTACAGTCCTGCACAGACCTCACCAAACCAGACGATGTCTTTTAAGTAGGGAAATCCATCCTTTATAGTAAGTTCATTTTTATGAAGGCAGAAAAATAAGAGTATCCCCACGGCGACATGAACGAGTCACCCAATTGAAGTTCCCATTCCTATAGTATAAATTCAACTTTTACAAATTCACAATCGTCTTATTTGGTGTCCGATTTCGGTCAATTTTCAACAGTCGGCTTTTTTATTTTGTCTCCTTCCTTTTAGAGTATTTTTTTTTTATTAAGGTGGGATTTCCTTTGAGGGCAATTACAATTAAAGGATATCATATACTTGAAATTAGTAATATCTCCATGGTCATTTTAAGGTGCACGTGCCGAATGGTCATTTAAATGGCTACTCAACAATAGGGGGTAAGAAACTTTTATTCGGCCCAATCCGCCAGAGGTCGGTGAGCAATCGTGTTGACGTCACAAGTACAACTTTGTCCGTCCATCAGAAAGGTTACCCACGTATTAACCGCAAGTTGGATATAACTCTTCATTTGACAAAAAAATAAGTCAGTAGTTCTTTGGAGGAGCTTGATTAATGCAGGCCTAATGCAAAGTTGTGATTTCTTATTAGCATTAGAACCGTAACATGTAATACATTCAAAGTCCAGTCTGAAATTTATTCTTAGAAGAGCTGATGGGGTGGCCGTAGAACGCTTTGGTTATCTTGGGTGCCGCCTTAATGGTGTATGGGAGAGGAGAGTGTGATGTTGTGGGTGCGTTGTTGGTATCGTGTATGGGTGTGGGTACGTGTATATTTATTTGTGCGGCGTACAGAGAGAGAGAGAGAGAGAGAGAGAGTGAGAGGAAACGAGAGAGAGAGAGAGAGACAGGAAGAAATAAAGGGGAGTCGGTGGGGTTGGGTGGGGGAGGGGGGGGGGGCTCTAGCTAGACCCCACGGCCGCGGTGGCAAATGTGACTGAGGCATTAATCTGGAAATATGTCGATGACGTGCGGTACTATCAAGGGAAAGTGTCCACCACGGCAATGATTTCTTTGAATGAGAAAGGGTTTCACATTTCATTTGCATTTTATTATGTTGTATGTAGCTAGAAGAAAGCATGTGGAAATGAGTTGGATTTTTTTCAGGATCTGGGCAATTAAATTTGAAATTGAAAAAGATCCTTATAGATATATATATATATAGATATATATATATATATAATGCGAAAGGAAATGAGAGAATATGGGTTTTGTGTCTTAAATCAGTCCCTACCTTTTGGAAGAGAGAGATTATGTTTAAATTGAAAGCAATATCGGACGAACTTTTTGCTAGGTCGATCCTCCATTCTACCAAATATGATTAAGACAGTTACGCGTTTTAAACTTCAACAAATCTTGTTATTATATATTCCCGCCCTATCTCCCCACCCCAACCCATCTCTCTCTGTTAAAAAACAAATTTATTCAAATGTTAGGCGTACAATAGTTTAAAAAGTGGCTGTATTGGTATATTTAATATCATAATTAGCCTAAATGGTATATCTCTGCTTCTAAACGAATATTTTTTTTCCGTTTTGCACAAAATCATTATACCCCGGATTTGGCCTAAATACTATGATTAGGCAATCAGACTTCTTTCCTTCAGCGGGGAGGCTATCTATCATATTTATTTCATCTTCTTTTAAAACAAAACAAAATGTTTTATTATTATAGATTTCATTAATTGGAAGAATAAACCAATAGTGAACCATTACTAAATCAATAATTTTTCTAATTCCTGGATATGTACTTCGTACTGAGATATTTTTTTGTCATCATAAACAAAAACAGAATCCGAAGCTGTTTTGAATTTTCTTTTAATAGAATACGAATCTGTGGGTTTTACTTAACATCATCACGTGACATACTATCGGTGTAGATGGCGCCGTCTAGATCATGAGTCTCCGCTTTTTGGAACAACAGAGGAACGCAAAACTAAAGAGACGCTGGGATGTCAGTCACTAGATTATTTTGATTTGGGATGGTACATTTCGCTACAAAAACTTGTTTAATGGCACCGATTCAACACCGCTTACATTTTAACAATGATAATATTTTTTTGTATTACTGTTTCTCTGATTTATATTTTAAATTTAACTTTTAAAATAGAAGGGGTTCATCTTTATAAATTTAACCCTTGCTTGCGTCATATCTAATGAATAATATAGGTAAAAGGAATAATAATAATAATAAATTACATTTATATAGCGCTTAATACAAAGTTTCTAAGCGCTTAACAAAAAATAAAATTAAAGTAATGTTAACTTACAAATTACAAGAATATAATACATGATACATAATTATAATAACAAATTCTTAATAACAATAATACAATAATAATAGTTAATATTTACATAAAGCTTTATAGTTAAACAAACAAAATATGATTACATTACATTACATATTAAACAGATAAGTCTTAAGTTTACTTTTGAATGTCTCTAAGGTTGGGGACTCGCGTATTTCATGGGGAAGATTGTTCCAAAGTTGGGGGGCACAGACAGAAAAGGCACGATTTCCATAGCGGGTGTGGGTGCGAGGGCCTGGGGCAAGATGAAGATGTGCTGTGGATGACGATCTGAGACGCATAGATGAAGTACGAGTTTTAGGAGTGATGAGTGCCGAGAGATATGAGGGAGCAAGTTTGTGAAAGGCCTTGTATGTCAGCATGAGAATCTTGAATTTGATACGTTGTTGGAGGGGGAGCCAGTGTAGTGAACGAATGATCGGTGTGATGTGTTCATGTTTTCTTGTACGTGTGATGAGGCGTGCTGCTGTGTTCTGAATATGTTGAAGAGGGGCTAAATGAGAGCTAGGGAGATTGATTAATAGTCCATTACAGTAATCAAGGTGGGAAGTTACAAGGGCATTAACAAGACGATGAGTAGAACTTTGATCCAGAAATTTTCGCAGTTTTCCAACTTTGTGGATCCCGAAAGCTGCGATACGACACACGTTGCGTATATGCTGGTTCACATTTAGCACGTTGTCCACCGTGACTCCCAGATCCTTGGCAGATTGGGAAAGAGTGATTGTTGTGCCATCCATGTCAAGATCAGGTAGCACACTGGAATTGCGAAACATGGAAGTTATATGCATAACTTCTGTTTTTGTGCCGTTGAACACAAGATTATTGCCGCAGGACCAGCTTTTCACGTCACTGACGCATCTGCTGAGCTTGGAAATGCAACTGGAAGCATCACTTTGCTTAAGCACTATGTACAGTTGCGTATCGTCGGCATACATCATATGCATTACGCCATCATGAGCATGGATGACCTCACTGAGCGGACCCGTGTACAGTGAAAAGAGCAGAGGTCCTAGAACGGATCCTTGGGGGACACCCCAGGGGAGTGGGAATGCTTTAGAAGGAACTCTGTTGACAACAATAACTTGATGACGGTCCTCCAGGTAAGAAGCAAGCCACTGCAGTACCTTTCCATCAAATCCATAATCATGACGCAGACGACACATCAATTTGGCATGATCTATGGTTTCAAAAGCAGCCGAGAAATCAAGCAAAACCCAGAACAGCCTCTAGCCCTCTATCGACAGCCAGTAGCAGATCATTGTAGACTTTGATGAGGGCAGTCTCTGTTGAATGGAACTGTCTGTACGCAGACTGCATACACGGGAACAGGAATGGAATAAGAGCTATGACTTTTGTATAACAATTCAGAAATTAAGAGATGAGAAAAAACTTTCGATATCTTAAAAACTAAAGGAAATAAAGGAACAATCGTTTTTTTATTAGTTAGTGTGCGTGTTGGTTGGTGAGAGTGTATTTGTGTGGGGGAGAGATCATGGGCAGATAAGTGCGTGTGTGTGTGGGTGACTTCCGTTCCCCATTATACTTACGTCCTTTCATCTTGCTCTTTCTATGTTTCTTTCGCCCAACCCTTCTCTCTCTCTCTCTCTGCCTCACACATACACACACACACACACACCCTCACCCTCCCCCATTTCTCCGCTTCTCTCTCCCACATCAATCTCAGGTTCACAAGGTAAGAGGAAAGGAGGTCAATAAATATACAGGTAGTAATCAATATCTATGAAAATCCTCTCCCGTGACATGTAAGTGTAATGTCAGATGTATCAAGGAAATTAAAGGTTCGTTATACTATTGTCAAGAGTCTTATATCTGAGGTTTTCATTTGCTAGCGTCTACCTACTACTCAGTTTACAGTATTTATTTTCAAAATATGAACTAGGGTTTGCCCATGACTCGGTCCTTGCCTGTCTCAATTCTCCCCCTGAAGACTAGATCTGGCTTCTTGAGACTTTCTGGTGCCTGCATTTGTACTGTATAATCGTGTTTACGTTTCGTATCTTTATTTTACTCTTGGTTGATAAGAGTGAATCAATTCAATGTCAAGTACTTACTGCCGACGTGGATAAAAGCGCATGCGCTATCCGCGACACCTTTTCTTAATCTTTGCACCTAAATCACCTAAAAGCAGAACAGATATTATACCTGATATAATTTGCACCAAAGCTTCAGTCGTATTTTTATGGTTGACGTCCTAAAGTTCATCTCGACAGTACTTCAAATTTGTTTGACGATCGTTTCAGAAATTTGGCAACTCTTCCACTTCGACAAGATTGAAAGGAAATCGGGTAAGACCAATTAACCTTTTTAAGAATGATCAAATTAAATTAATTAATATCGCAACGGCAAACATTAAAAAGCGGTTTCCCCTTGACGAAATATCAATATTGTATGAATATAGTGGCGTTTGATATTCAAATATCTTTTTGTATTGAATGCATTTTTGAGAGCGTTTTATATAGGCCTAGATCCTTTTACGTAATATAAAACTAATTAGTATCATCCCGCCCGTGTATTTGTGAGGGGGGGGGGGGCATAAGAATGTCCGCATCAATTTGGACGATTTACATACGTGTATAGGCATACGTGTCACTTAAGTTTATAATATGATTTTCATAAATTATATCATACAAAGTTATAGTTGTCAAATTTAAAGAAAAATAGCGTACGGTATTGTATAAAAATGCCTACAATTTTCGTTAATACTGGCCTCAGAGTTTTTTTTATCAAATTGGCCATTTCTTTGAGAAATAATGTGTAATATTCCCAATAATATAATATTATTCCCAAAAGAATAATATAAATCATCATGATAAATTTATCATACCGTGTATACGGCATCTTCGTCTTTCTCTGCTTTAGTCCGAATACCCACAGGTTGATTAAGTGTGTGTGCGTGTGTGTGTGGAAGGGGGGGGGGGGGTACGTCAAGAGAACAAAAAAGGGCCCCTTTTCAACTTTAAACCTAAATATCCTTTGAAATGTGATTTTTCTTCTCTTTGCTTGATTGTCAGATAAAGGTGTAAAAATACATGTATATATATATATATATTGTCAGATATAGGTGTAAATGAGTTGAGTTGAGTTGAATTTATTATATTTATGCACGGTAAAAGCCCGAAACAGTTCGAACACCGGTTTAAACCAGGGCCGTGTTGATAAAAAGCAACAAAACAATGACATATCAACAATATATGACAAATTTAATACCATAACGTATTGTATAAAGCAAAAAAAAAGTATAGATATGTGAAGTAGACTCAACAATACATAGAAAATAAACTAAAACTTTTTTTTGATAGACATAAAAGATAACAATCAAAATAAGTTATGAACATCAAAATCTGTTGGTAGGCCTCAAACAGAACGTTGTTATTCCTGGCTCTTTTTTCTGATTGAGGTGTCATTGAGAAATGTGATTTTCTCTTTGAAATTCAGATACCGTCCGCCTAGTGGCTTTTTGGTTTCCTCTCTTAAAATTGATTTTAATCACTCATGCGTGATATATGCATCATATGAGTTGCAACAAATCATGATAGAGGAGGATCTAAGCTTTAGGAATATGTGTCATTTATTTATCATAGTTGTTATTAAGTTATAATAAAACATCGATAATTCTCGGTTTTGTTTTTTTCTGGGACACATTGTATAGTAGAAACAAAATGAAATATAAAAAGATAATAGAACATATATATATATATATATATATATATATATATACATATTTATGTTATATATTAAATATGTGTAAAAAAAACATGTAAAAGTCACATATACTTTAGGACAAATGTGTATTCCATATTGTGTGAAAGTAAAGTGAAGTACGGAATAATAATATATAATTAAGAACATATTAATATGGATAAGTTAAATATTACATAAACAAAACTATAAAAAACAGAAACTGATACCGTAAACTTTAAAACAAAAAGGATTGTGTAGGTGAAATATGAAGTATCTAAGAATGATAAATAGGGTACCTAGCCTTTACTGGTAATTCCAACCCCCCCCCCCCCCCCCCCCCCAAGAGCATCACTGATGCTGATGAGGAGTTCCTTGGTAAACAAAGTAATCATTAGATGCTGCTTGTAAGTGTCGGCTTGCATGGTGATGTAGATATATAGTAAGCTTGCGGGTGCACCCCGGTGACTTAAGCTCACGCACGCCAGCTATTCTCCACTCCTGACGACGGATAGACAACCTGTTCGAAACGTCAAGCCACTCCCGCCACTCATCCTCTCCAAGCGCTATAGTTCTCCTAATAACTATAAGCTATTAAAGAAAGATAACCAACAGTCTTTTTTCTACAAAAACAGTCCTTTTCAGGACTACACACCCCCAAGAAAGATTACCGAGAGTCCTTTTCAGGACTCCTTAATCCTCTCTCTCTCTCTCTCTCTCACACATGGTGCACCCGCAAGCTTACTGTATAAAAGTAATCATTGTCAACATAAATAATTATGAATCATCATTCCACAGCACGACATCATGAAGATACTCATTTTGATCAGTGTTGTCGCCATGTCGACCGTGGGCAACGCCGCTTACAGCTGCCCTGAGTTCTGGAACTTATTCGGAGGGAACTGCTATCGTTATCAGGGGGATAGATTGACATGGTCGGCTGCTGAAGCCAGATGCAATGAGGCCTTTACCAGCGCTGGAGTGGGACATCTAGCTTCGATCCATAGCCTTGCAGAGAACCGCTTCGTTTATGAGATGTTCAAATCAAGCGTGTCCATAAACGACATTCCAGATTGGGTGGTAAGATTTTACACTTTTTTTCCCATGGAAAGTCATGCTATTCCAGATATAAGATTGCCAGCATAGTTAAATTTCAAGAGATCAAGTGAAGAATTTACCAAGAGGAAGAGAATGTTGCTAATTAAAATGACCTTCCTTTGGCAAGACATTAATCCATAGCATTTTTAGCCACACTTGACCCAGGTGAGGTAAATGGGTACCCGGCAAGAATTCATTTAAAGGATGAGCTTTGTAAGAACAGCAGTGCTAAAGCCAGGGTAATATAATAATAACAGAGCGACAGGAGTGGCAATGTTCCAGACGTGAGCGCTATATAAGGATCCAATCTTGTCATTACTATCATCATAATCATCACCATCATCTCTATCATTATTGTTGTTATTGTTCTTGTTATTATTATAATTAATTATTATTATTTTTGTCATTATTTTTATTATCATTATTATTATTATTATTATTATTATTATTATTATTATTATTATTATTATTATTATTATTCTTATTACATGTATTATTATTATTGTTAACATATTGGGACTTGTTAAAATTGTTCAGATGAGAGAAAATGGTGTTAGATGTACAATTAAAGATAATCTGAAAGTTTGAGTGAAAACAGACCATTTTTTAAAGATAAAAATTGGGAAAAACTTATCTGATCGATTCCTGAATTCTAAATGTCATTATAATTGAATTAACATTTTGGTGAATGCAAATCTTCACAAAGCAATGAATTGGCTCTATATACCATTCCAAGCATTCAAGTGCTGAAAGATTTGGAAAAAAAACTTATTTTCATGTAAAAAGGGTTGGAAAAAAAAAATTGGTTGGGATAATTTACTGCTAGAGGGTGTTGCACAGCGACGCCTTTAAAGAAAACAATTAATATCTTTGTGGTTTGAGAATTTGTCAGGATTTGTTTGCATGTTGGAGGGTACAGTAAAAAAAATAGTTTAAGTAACATTGCATACAGAAATTACGCAGTTTTTTCATCAACCTTCAACAATGTCAATGTTACAAGTTTACTTTAATAGAAGTAGTATTACTATTATTATCATTACTATTATTTTTGCCATTGAGATAAAAGCGCTATTGCTCTTCGGTATCATAAGGCGATTCAAGGGGATAGGACTTAAAGTCGTATATCTCCTATTTTTTACCTTCTATTTTAGAAAAAAGGTGCTTGTAGTGTCTCCAAAGGGCCTCTGTCAATTATTACCGTGGAAAAGAATTCGGAATTGCTGATATGATTTCTCTTCCTAAACTTCTTCAGTATAACAGAGAAGACCGCAATCCAATCTACGGGATATGGATCGGACTTCACCAGACTGTGGCTGACGGGCCCTGGAAGAACTCTGACGATACCGACCAGGGTGATTTCTACAAATGGAGGCCTGTAGAACCCAACAACAGCTACTACCAGGGTGAACAGGTGGAAGACTGCGTCCACATCTGGCGCACTGGATCTGAATCCGATGATCAACAAACGTGGAATGACATGTACTGCAACGAAGTGATGTCCTTCGTCTGCAAGATGCCAGCGGACGGGGAGTCTTGCGAGTAATAAGTGGTCTCCATTTTCCTTTTGACTCCTCAACAGATTGAGGCTATCGACCACTTGCCCGACTGACGTCAACCATTCATCAATATTATCCATTTTGGGCGCTAGGTTATAACTCTATCTCTCTCTCTCTCTTTCTCTCTCTCTCTCTCTTTCTCATCCTACCCCTCTCTCTCTCCCTTTCTATATCTACCGGTCCCGACGGAAAAATGAATTGACTACTCTACATTATTTTGGCGGCGGGGTACCGAAAACTATTATATCCTATTTTATGCTAGCTTGACTTGTATGAAAGTAAATTAAACAAATCTCTTCTATGTGTCTCTTTTATTTAGGTCAACACGATTGTGTTTAATAAGTACTGCTTAAATTAGCATGATTTCATCTACTGAATAATGATGTGAGAAGAGGTCATTTATAGGCCTTTTACAAGCCTTATTTCTAAGCATGCAGTATATCTCTCTCTAATACAATAATTGTCTTAATCATTGCCGTCTTCTCGCTTCCTCCACCTGTTTTTTCTTCAAGACTTGCTTTTCTTCAGGAACCCTTCGTCCCATGACCATTGAATAACTTTCCTTTTTCTTTTGACAATTACAAAATATAATTACATTTGGGGGTAACACCATTGATAATCACACGAATATTTTTTAAAGAACACTGGCTGTACATACACCAGGGTATGTGCGGTGTGCGCTTGACTGTAGATGCGAAGGTCGAGGGTTCGAATCCCGACACGGCACTAATATCCTTTGGCAAGATATTTACCTGCACTTGCTACTCTCCACCCAGGTGTTAAATGGGTACCCGGTAGGATGCGAACGTTCATATGGTTGGACGAGCAAGTGTAAAATGGCGACTGGCTGGAATGCTCCCCAGGGAGTGGAAAATGTGCACACATTGTGTGCGGGTAAGCCTGAATCCGATGACCGGGGTAATAATATATCTGTAAAGCGCTTAGGCACATCGTTGGATCGGTGTATTGAGCGCTATATAAAAAAAACCGGATTATTATTATTATTATTATTAATCTTATCAATAGTAGAACCATCTCTGCAGTCAAGGTAGTAGCAGAAAATCGTGTAATAATAATAATATTCGGTTCTTGAATAGCGCATATCACATTTTATAACGTCTCTATGCGCTTCCAAAGAGCTTTGGAAATTATTACCCTATAGCTTTAGCTCCCGTAGCCGTAATCAGCGCACAGTGCATTTCAATCCTACCAGGTACCAGGTGTGGCAAATGTAGATTAATATGATCGAAAAAGGACATTAGTGCCGAACCGCGGACCTTGTGATCCACATTCCGGTGACGTATTGTTTTACTATAAATGATTCGTCCCTAAAACACGATCGCAGCTGCTTTCGGAAAATCAACCTAAGGTATTTTTCTTGGCCTGTTACGTCACCTTTTGAAATGTACGAACATTAAAAATGCTTATTACGTATTAAGAACATTATTTTCTATGGGGCATACAGTAGGGTATTGAAATTGCTCCTGATCAGTGATGATATTGCGAAAGTAGTTGCGATCGTGTTTCGAAAGAACGATATTTTATTTTCAACTGTTTTATCCTCTTTACTTTCTGACACAATTGGCTAATAATAATTACAACTTTAAACAATTAACAATTGTCTTGTTTGTTGTCCTTATTCGTTCATTTTCACCAGTCTGCTTTTCTATTTTGTTCTCCTTTCTTTTAGAGTAATTTTTTGTTAGCTTAGGATTTCCCTATACAAGGGCATTATAGATTATATTTTGAATTAGGCCTACTAACATCTTCATGACCAATTTAAGGTGCACGTGCCGAATGGTCCTTTGAATAGCTACTCAACAATAGGGGGTAATAAACCTTTTATTCGGCCCAATCCGCCAAAGGTCGGTGAGCAATCGTGCTGACGTCACTAGTACAACTTTGTCCGACTCACAGAAAGGTTACCCACGCATTAGATATAACCTAAGTTTTAATTTGACAACAAATAAGTCAGTAGTTCATTAAAGAAGATTGATTAATGCAGACCTAATCCAAAGCTGTGATTACCTATTATCATTAGAACCCTAACGTGATACATTCAAAGTCTGAAATTTATTCTTAGTAGAGTATAGTAGAGTAGAGTATAGGTGTAGGGACCTGTATATTTATTTGTGAAGCATACAGAGAGAGAGAGAAAGAGAGAGAGAGAGAGAGAGGGGCCGCGATGGCAAATGTGACTGAGGCATTAATCTAGAAATATGTCAAGGGAAGGTGTCCACCACGGCCATGATTTCTTTGAATGAGAAAGGGTTTCACATTTATTTTGCATTTTATAATGTTGTATGTAGCTAGAAGAAAGCATTTGGAAATGAGTTGGATTTTTTTCTGGATCTGGGCAATTAAATTTGAATATGATATTTGATTCTTCAGTCACACCAACAAAAGCGACACCAGGCTGACAACAGACCGAACAAACTACTTACAAAATTGGCAACAAAATTGGTTGATTTGGATTGGGTGTGGAGATGGTTCGGCGGTGTGACCGAGGTATAACAACAGCGATTTGTTGTCAAACTTTGCTCGACAACTTTTTTTTTGAAGCATAGAGGAGATTAAATAGATCTATATAGGGAGAAAGATATATATATAATGCGAAAGGAAATGAGAGAATATGGGTTTTGTGTCTTAAAGGGGCATGTTCCCCGTATTCCAGAGGGCGTTCAAAATACGTACGCGCTGGCGGACGGTGCTATAGCTGCCTATTGACACCAACAGAATACGGCTCTTACGCAGATGGCATGTTCCGATAACTACACTGGCGGGAACGTGCCCCTTTAAATCAAAGTTCCCCATGGCTGTCCTCACTTTCTGGAAGAGAGAGATTATATTTAAATTCAAAGCAATATCAGACGAACTTTTTGCTAAGTCGATCCTCCATTCCATTAAGCATGATAAAGACAGTTTACGCGTTAAAAGTTAAAATAATCTTGTCATTATAAATTCCCCCCCCCCTCTCTCACCCCTACCCAATCTCTCTCTAAAAGAATTTATCCAAATGTAAGGCGTACAATAGTTTACAAATTGGTTTTCTTGGTATATTTAATATCATAATTAGACTAAGTTGTGTATCTCTGCTTCTAAACGACTAAACCTTTTTTCCACGTTGCACAAATTGACATTGCACCCCAGCTTTGACCTTAATACTATGATTAGGTACTCAGGCATCTGTCCTTGAGCGGGGAGGCTATCTTTCATATTCATTTCATCTTCATTATATTTTTAAAAATAATTGTTTAAAACAGATTTTATTGATTGGAAGAATAAACCTAGTAGGGAACCATTATTTAATTAAATATTGTTCTCATACCTGGGTATGTATTTCGTACATAGACATTTTATTTAACATCATCAAAACCAGAATCCGGGGCTGTTTTGAATTTTCTTTTAGAATACAAATCTGTGGGTTTTATTTAACATCATCACGTGACATACTATTGGTCTAGATGGCGCCGCCTAAATCATGAATCTCCGCTTTTTAGAACAACAAAGGAGTATTAAACTAAAGTGATGATAGGGAGTCGCTAGATTTTTGGAAATTTTGAAATTTGGGGTGGTGCATTTTGCTACAAGCCGGGTTTATTGGCACCGATTCAACATCGCTTACATTTTAACAATGATAACATTGTTTTTAATTACTGTTTCTTCGATTTGTATTTTAATTTTTTTGTTTAATGTAAACATAGAAGGGGTTTATCTTTATAAATTGAACCCTTTCTTGCTTTAAATATAATGAATAATGTAGTTATTAATAATAGCAATGAGTTTTGGATACCAATTACGGAATTGAGGGATGAAAAATACACACCTTAAGAAATAAAGGAACAATAGTTTTTGATCAGTGTGTGTGCGTGTTAGGGAAAGTGAGAGTGAGACTGTGGGAAAGAAATAATGGGCAGATGTATGCGTGTGTGTATGTGTGTGCATGTGTTTAGTGCGTGTATGTGAGAGTGTGCGCGTGTGAGTGTGCGTGCGTGTGATTGTATGTGCGAGTGAGTTTGTGCTTGAATATGGGAGTCTGTATATCCCAAAATCAGATACATTTAATACAAGAAAAATACAAATAGTAATCAATATCTATGAAAACCCTCCCATCATTGAAGTTTCATGTGAGAAGTATCAAGGAAATTGTGGGTGCGATAAACGATTGTCAAGAGCCTTAAACAGTACGTCCCAGAAAAAACGAAACCGAGAATTATCGATACTTTTTTTCATTTGGCGGGCGGTATCTGAATTTCAAAAAGAAAATCACATTTCTAGAAAATTCATTTTCTGCCCTTTCATATGACACCTCAATTAGGAAAAATGAGCCAGCTGGAATAACAAAGTTCGGAGGAGATTTGTTTAGTAATCTGTTCTTTCAGTTTCAAGTTACATTTTTGACTGCTCTTCTTGGAGACCACCATGCACTTTGTCTTGGTATAGTTGATCTCTATAGTCCCATTCTCTCCCTTTGTTTTACAACTACATCCAGGAGTCTCTGGAGATCTTTCTCTGATTCAGAAAATAGAACAGTGTCATCAGCATATCTAATATTTGTGATTGAATGGCAACTCACTTGTATCCCATTTTCAGCCTCCAATTCTCTTAGAATGATTTCACTATACATATTGAACAGGTCCGGCGACATAACACAACACTGTCTGTTTTCCCGTCTGATGTTAATATATTCACTACACTCTCCTTCTACCCTGATGCATGCATACTGATTCCAATATAGACTTTGTAACAGTCTTAGATCGTTCGTATATAGCCTATATTAAGCTTTTTCAGCTCTTCAAAAAGTTCTGAATGTTTTACTTTATCAAAAGCCTTTGAATAATCAATCAAACACATGTACACATCCTTCTGCATTTCGACTGCTCTCTACGTTACATTTCTAACCACAAATATTGCATTTCTTGTGCCCGCATCCTTTACAAAACAAGATTGTTCTCTTCCGACCATGGGAGTTATTCTACTTCTAGCTCTCAAAAGCAAAATCATCAAAATAATCTTAGTGATATGCCAAATAAGGCTGATTGTCCTATATTGCTCACAATCCACGGCTCCCGGTTTCTTTGGGAGAGTAATGAAAATGGATCTGCCCAATCCATCTGGAAATGTTCCGTCATCATATATTGTGTTGATAATTTCTGTTAATCTATCGACACCGTATTCCTCTAATGCTTCAAACATGCGAACATTAAGTTTTGAAATGTTTTAACTAGATAACATTCAAACTAGGCACCTGAAATCTGCTTGGTATTGTAGACTTTGAAGTTCAAACATGATCATAATTTGAATGTCTTCTCTCCGCGGAAATTGTAACGTTAATATAGTCTCAAATGCCTGTACTTAATCATCACGTAGATTCTCTGTCAAGTACCAGTATTATATTTATTACAGGATAAACATAAAACAATAGTCTATATAGGAATTTTCAACATGTAGTCATGCTGCTAATACGCCATGTTACCTTTAGGTAGAATTTATTTGTCAGAGTTTGACAACAACTACTACAACGCAAGGGGTAAGAGGACAAATTTTAATTATTTTTTTTGGTCCCGAAATTTTAAAATTTGATCGATCGAAATTCCTTCCGTTGGGGGGGGGGGGGGGGGGGGGTAAGGTCATCTTTTTAAGGTCATCCATTAGAATAAAAAAAAAAAAAAAAAAAAAACTCAAAAGGGGGGGGGGGGGGGGGAGGGGAGTTTCCGAAAAACACACACATAAACAAA